TATTCTGGAGGTTCCTTCTTACAAACATCCATCCATACATTCAAACATTAAGATTTGGAATACTTACAATGAAATATAGATTTCTCCTCCAATGGTTTGTCGTCATCCACTTTGCCTTTCTTTTGTCTCTTTGCCAATATCTCTTGCAATTCCTTTGCTTCCTCACCTTCCGGCTTCATCACTCTTAAACATATAATTAATTATATAAACAAAAAGTTTTACCCCTACACTTTTGTAAAAGTAAATCTGATTTATGCAAACATCAACCTACAATCTCTGCCTATTCCTAATTAGGTGTGGATGCATATTAAAATACTAAATGATACTAAATGATATACCTCTTTTCATCAACATATCCACCCCAGGGTCCAAGAAAACCATTAACATCATTTGGATCGTCATTTTTATTTCTTTTCCGATTGTCTAAAGGTCTCTTCTTTATTGTCTCAAATACAGTTTTACCTTCTGCTTCAACTGGAGCCGCTACCATAGCTGAAACTAAATTAGAACATTGATTACAAAATTATTTTATTATAATTCTCTAGTTTTTATTGATATACTAGCTGTCGCCCGTACCCTCAGAGCGGAATAAAAAAACAACAAAATTAGTAACCTATGTGTTCTTCCAGACTTTGTTCTAGATGTATGCCAAATTTCATCAAGATCCATTCTGCTCTTCTGAAGATACCTTCAAACAAACATCCATTCATCCATCCAGCCATCTAAACATTTGTATTTATAATATTAGTAAGATTTATTGTTAAGCTAGTAACCACTTTAATTTAATGTTTTCCAAATGTAGAGACAAACAAATCTATGTATATACTAACCTACAATAGCATCCCCTGTACCAGTCTCACCATCAGTAGATGGATCAATCGCATAACCATAACTCGCAAAAGTCCTTCTTTGATTTTCAAACTGAAATTCACTTATGTGTGCCTTTTCAACATATCCTGACAGCATATTCCTATTTGCCTTCATCTGCTGAGTTTGAAATGGATTGTCTGGACCAAATGCGGGAGCAAAAAGTTCTTCATATTTTGGATTGTGCATTAGTTCTTGATTGTCTTTGATTAATACCCTAGTGTCATCATTATTCTGTAAAGAGAAAATAAGAGATGTTACAAAACATTACAAAATTGGTTATGTTTGGACAAATACAAATACTGAGTCAAACAATGAAACAGTTGCTTAATTATCTGCATTTAGGTACTCTTGTCCTCTCCCATAGTCTCTCTATAACCGATTTTAAAATGGTTTATTCAGAGTACATTAAGCATGTAGGGCGCTAATAGCAAAATTTATGTTTTTTGTGGAGAAAAAGGGTAGAACTATATATTACCGTCGGAGTCACAACCGGTGCAGCACATATTTGCATCTTTTTAGCCAATGATAGTTTTGGATCTATCGGTTTTAAGTGAGTCAACTCTTCGTTGCTGAATTGTTTACTACTCTCAGAATTGTCATCTCCATCATCCTCAGAACTGCTTCCATAATTCTGTATATTAAGCATTCTGCAGCATGTATTGAGTCGTAACACAGATTATTTTGTTACGATAATTTGAATTTTTGTTTTAATTACAACAACAAAACTTATTTTACATACACATTGTGTTATTAGTATTGCAAAAACATTTTTAATTATGTCAGTGTCATGTCTACAAAGTCATTCAAATGACATGACAAGAATGACAATAACGTTTTGAAATAGTTGTTCTGATCTTAACTTTTGCGTCTTGCTCAGAAATAAAATTAATTTAGAGATGATTAATATGGGTAAAACACAAAGCACAACATAATTCAATTTGCATTGTTTACTAAAATAAGCAGTTTTTGCATAGACCTAACTATCGCACAGATTCAAATCTATGCACAGATTGTCTAGCAACTATTGACAAGATAATCAATGTGAGCAACATTTTGGAAAGAAACAGTCAGGTGATGAGTACTTGTGACAGCACATAAAGATCAATAAAATATTAAAAAAAAATCTTCTAAAATGGCTTTACAAGCAGCAGTTAAGGGTAAACTAATCAGCGTTATTGGAGATGAGGTAATCTTTATATATTTGACTAAATGTTCCTTTTATTCTTTAAACAAAAAGAAAAGTATAAAGCAATTGTTTTCAGCTAACTTCCTTTATGTTTCTGTTTTATTTTATCTACTGCTTATAATTAGGATATTTCGTATATATTTTATGAATTACAGGACACCTGCGTTGGTTTTCTCTTGGGTGGAATCGGAGAAATCAACAAAAACAGACACCCAAATTTCATGGTTGTGGACAAAAGTAAGTTAGAACCTGCCTTTAAGAACTCATTTAATTAATGCTGATGAACTTCTCTATAGTTATCTTCTCTATAATTAAATCTAAAATCTTTGTCTTTTTATGCTAAAATGTTAGGTATTTGGTTTCATTTGGAATTTGAAGTTTCTAAACATAAAGGTTCTAAGACTCTAGAAACCTGTCATTGTAATAGACATTATTTTGACACTTTTAGACACCCCGGTCAGTGAGATTGAAGACTGCTTCAAGCGATTTGTGAAGCGTGATGATATCGACATCATTCTCATCAACCAGAACATAGCTGAGATGATCCGTCATGTGATTGATGCCCACAACTTACCAGTGCCTTCAATATTGGAGATTCCATCCAAGGACCATCCCTATGATGCCAGCAAGGATTCTATCTTACGTCGTGCTAAGGTATAATGCCAATCAATATTCATTCATTTTTTACGTCAAAATGGCAAACAAATATGCGGCCAACCTTTAATCAACGGAAGAGGGGAGGTACAGAAACAGGGTACTACCTATGCTTCCTCTCCTCAGTCGAACTTACTTTCCATTCCCATTCTTTCCTTAAAAGAACAGTTTTGGAAGGGAAAGGGGAATAAATTTAGTGATTAGTTCAATTTTTAACTTGTTACATCACCACTTAACACTTTCACTGTCATTGTAATTTTATTGCATCGAAACATACCGGTCATAGTGGTAGTACTGCATGTTTTAACATTAGTTGTTTGTTAGTCATTTTTATTACACTTTAAGTGGTGATTATAAGTTAAAAACTATATAAGTGGTCTTATTACTTAATGGTAACTAAATTTATTAATAGATGGCGTTATTTTCATTTTTTAAAACATTTAAACAACTTCAAAAAGGAGGAAGTTCTTTTTATTGTTTAATTTTGATTAGCATTATTGTTTTGAGATGTGTGAATTTTATTATTGCAACACAATAATATTTTCAAAGGCAAAGAACAGATTTTCTTGCTCTGGTTTGTTTATATCAACTATTATTAAAATAAGAAAAGGTTTTAACTAAAACAAAACATTTATTGTTATAATTGTGTCATTTTTCTCATGTTTTTCTATTATTCATTTTGTTTTTTAAAACAAAGCTCATTTCAAATTAATCAACTCTTAAATTGAGATGGTATTATAATTCTTATCTTCTGTTTATATCATGATCCTCCTTTGACTATGGGTGACAACTGTCAAATGACTTGCATAAAAACAAAATGTCATCGTTTTTATTGTCTTTGATAAAATATAGACAACAATTTGTTTTATGTGTTGCATCAGTGGAAAATTATGGTAATAAAAACTTGTCATACCTTCATAACTTAATCTGTTCTAACTGTTATTGTGGTTGTTTTAATTTTTTTTGTTATTTACTATACAATCTCGAATTTTAATATTTACGATTGTGAACTAATTAAAAAGTAAACATTTTCAAATATCCTATAACATAAATCCTAAGTGGATCATTCTATCCTATCTTTAACTCTAATTTAAGCATTTATCTATCTTAAACATCAGAAAATTATTTTTGAAAAGTTGGCAACTCATTATTAAATTTTACTGACAAAATAGTGTTGCCATTTTCTGTTTATATTTAAATAAATGAAATATTTTGAAGAATGCTGAGAGAAAGTAATTATGATGTAATCTTCGGCTACTCATGAATAATATACTAAGCTTAAAAACTATTTAGTCATACAAATTATTACATCTATGATGTAGGTCTAATATACTCGGTATCTCCTAGTACTTAGCTTATCAGAAGTGAAGTTTGACAAATTACATGACCCAATATTGGGGTTGCCATTTATTTAGGTCTTATATTAGATCATGGAATGTTTGTTAATTTATTTTTATTTTACTTACAAAAGAAGATTAAATAAAATTTGAGTAGTGCAGTTTGCACTTACACTAGAACAAATCGTGTTGTACATATTGATTGTGTAGTCATAGTGTTTATGGTGTTACTTATAATTTTATCTTTTATTTACAGGGCATGTTCAACCCAGATGATTTGGTACGCTAAAAAAAACTTTATTGCATGGTTCTTTACCTGTTCCATTTACAACAGATTGGCACATGTAAATATGCCCAAAACAAAAGGAAGAAATCAACTAACACCTAATAAGTAACCTGTTTTTATTTTTCAACTCTCATAAGTCTGTCAATGTGTGCAATTTTTCAACTAAACTCGTTTGATATTTGAACCTAACACATTCCACTATAAATTTATTTTAATGAAATTATTTAATTATTACCATACTGCAATAATTTCGAAGCATTTAAATATAGATAAATTATTGAAATATGTAATATTGTTAACTATTGAAAATACTTATTTAAATCTTGTATAGAGTTAAAACTGTATTATAGAATATTACCATAAAGTTTGTGTTTTATTTTTTTCCTGAATTGAAATGTCAGTGTGTGTTGCATGTGTCTATGGCAAGATGTGTGCTCTTTGACGTGCAGTGTGCTATAAATGAAGCTTGCAATTTTTTGTGTTGGAGTTTTAAGGTTAGTAGATGACATAAAAAATCATTAACTAGATTTTTTTTTAATTTCCAGTCAATGTTTGGAGCTGATAACTACAGTACTTGATTAACTTTTAATATATTAGATAATGTTGCCATACTGTTATCACATGTATATTTTAATTCTACTTGTATATTAGAAATAAAAATACTAAATAAATTTTAATCACTTTATTTACAAATATTTATTAACAACTTATACATAGTAATACTATATGCACAAATATTTAGTATTGTATCTGTGCCTACACATATGTCAATTGAACATAGATTAAAATATTAACATTTACCCATTATTTGGTTTTTGTAAGAGTTAAGTACCCGTAATAAAGAAAACACATAGATCTTAGCCGTTAGAATGCGATACCGACATGATTCAGTGGTCTAGAACATTCTAAACCGAATCGCATTACTAAATAAGAGAGGACAATACAAAGCAAAAATAAAACGTTAATTTGGTGGGTTGTATTTTCCTCTCTGTGGTAATTTAAGACATCGCCGTGGACTAATTGTCAGGAGAACCGTCGCGTTACTTGTTTAGTCGTCAAATTCCGCGACATCATTTTCAGCCTTTTTGTGTCCCACCCAGTCCCATTTTGAGTAATGTAGTTTTGTTTTCTTGAATTTTGGATTTTTCGACGTTATACGAACGAAAACTCTCCGACCGAAGAGTGGTTGTAGTTGTCGGAAGTTGTCAACGAGAGGCAGGTTAAGGTTTGAAAGAAGGCCACGGAAATTGTCCATCTAAAAGATAAAGACGATTGTCAAATAATGCGACAGATAAAAAAAAAGTCGAATTATAGTTTCTTCCTAATTCAAAGCTAGCCATAGTTAAAATCAAATGATAATGTAGTAAACAAAGCAAAATATAACTTGACGTTTCCTATTCTGTATACGAAGATATATGGTAAAATATGTTTTCTCTAAAATCCTTGACATAAATTTAAATAATTTTGGTAGCAAAAAATCCGAAACGTATCGCCAAACAAATATTATTGACCTTCGAATAGAGTTTGAAAAATAAGTCTTTTTTATTATTGTACAAAGTTCTGTATCGCAAATACCTAATATATTTGTATGTCCGTAAAATACAAAAGTAACAAAGTAAGAAACCTAATAAAAGTGCGCACCTTTAGTGGAGTAATATTCGGATTTTGAATCATTCATTTGTATGTTATCTCTACATTTACCCTACTTTAAAAGATCTGTTAAAACATCAAAAGTAATGAAATAACATACCTGGAACACGGAGATCGGTAGATAGTCAGAGAATATGACCCACGTGACAGCCTCAGCGCACGGGGGCGTGGTCAGCGAGCCTTTGTACGTGTAGAAGCGTTCAGTGTCCAGGCCTGACAGGATAGAAGAGAGGGAGAACGTATGGGGGAGTTGCATGCTTGTGTTGAAGTTCTCAATAGCGGATAGATTCTTCACAATCGGCGTTAGAAGTTTGGCGTCGAATTCCACGACCTGAAAATGAACGTTGAGTATATTTACTCTGTCGCCAACGACTCTGTCCGCGCTTGATAAAATAAAAATATAGTAGCCTATGTGTTCTTCCAGACTGTGTTCTATATCCATGCCAAATTTCATCGAGATCCGTTGAGTCGTTCCGGAGATACCATCTAACAAACATCTATCCATTCAAAAATTCGCATTTATAATATTAGTAAGATTCAAATTTGATTTTTAAATGCCAAATCTCCGAAACCGAAAAAGTAACGTCCTCTAGTGTATAAATAAAGTACAAAGTCAATCACCTGATAGAAGAAAGCAAGGACACAAAGACCGTCAGGATGCTGTAACGCCTCAGCAAGACTCCGGTATTTCTTGTTCCTATGTATGATGTGCATCTCCAGCGGCAGGCGCATGTCGTTGAGCGTGTGCTCCGAGCCGCGGTTGTTCTTATCGCCCCAGTGGAAGTGGAAGCTTTCAATCTCATATTCATTGTCTAACGGACCACCGAAGATGTAAGGTAGACGGAAACCTTTCTTTTCCTCTTCAGATGAGTACTTCGGGATAGTTAATGCCACTGTAAAAAGTAAGTTTGTTTTGCAACACCAATTCATAACTGTGAAGTGTGACTTTTATAAGTAAGTAAACTTCATTGTTCCTGATTGAATTTTGTTCACATGATAAGATAGCTGAAGCCACTGCCTGTCCCCCTCTTTCATAAACACTCGGCAACCAGATTATGCGCCATTCCTGATTATTATCTATCCTAATTTTCATCCAGATTCGTCCAGCCGTTGTGGAGTTACATCGTAAAAAAACAATGCATACATACAAACTAACCACCGTTGTTGTATTGTTTGGTGAGTTAAGGATTATGTGTTTTTTGATTACCTGAGTGACCATTGTTGGTTATAGTCAAGGGCCCCGGCAGTGGATTCTGGTAGCCGACCAGCTCCATGGCGGGAATAGAGATGGGTATGGCCTGACGCGCCGCAATAGCAATAGGCGACTGTTGCCGGCCACCGCACGCCGGGTGCAACACCGCCCAACGCCGCTGATCTGACGCTCTGTATCCCCAGCCCATTACTAAGGACACTGCACAAAGAAATAAACGTTTAACAGGCTGTATGGCGTGGCTCTATCCAGGTGGAGTTTAAAAAAAACTGAGTAAATAGTTGCATTTTAAAATATGTAGTTATCATGTGAAGAACAAGAACACTATGTTTCGAGAATAAATGAATTAGTGAAGCATAAATCTTCTCAAATGCAATAAAAATTCAGCATGCAAATAGTATTTTAAAGTGCATTCCAAATAATTAATTGCATGTCAGTCGTTTAAACTAGCTATTTAAGATGTCCTAAAGAATAGCAAATTAGTGTTTGCCGCCAATTTATACCCGTACCATAGACAATGGCTACGTGTCATGTATCCGAATAACTTAATTAAGTTAAAAAAAGCGCGGCAATAAATTTAACTATCGGCGCTGATTTATAATTCTCCTTTGTTAGCTGTTAACTAGGATTTTATAAATTACAAAGCTATTTTTGCAATGCCATCCGTCAAATTATACAAATCTATGCAAATTTGTTGTTCAAGTTTGGTCTTGAATTTTAGAATAGTTCGAACCGAGAACACAGATTATTGATTTTTGCTACACTAGAACCGAGTAACATATTGCTTTTAACTTATTCAAGATTGATTAAAATAAGATACAAAGTAAATTTATTAATTTTAATAACCAGACTACCTCATAATGCTTTTCGTATATACCAGGACCAGATTTACCCAGGGGTACAAGGTATGAGGGGCCTTAAGAAAGGCAGACACAGGGTCATGAAGGGTATCAGCCTTTTAAATATGTAATTCAATATTATTGTTTGTTATTTTTCTGAACAAGCAACCAACAGATGAGTTCACCAATGCAGTACAATCAAAGACAAAGATTTGTAATTACGTTTCTACGCAAACGAGAAACGAATGCTGCTGTATTTTACTAACAACTAGCTGTCGCCCGGGACTCCGGTATTAAAAAAAAAACTATTGGTCGCAGCGTAATTTTACATGGCATAAAGCTTTCCACTATAAATAGACTATCCAACGAAAAAAAAGATTTTTTCAAATCGGACCAGTAGTTCCTGAGATTAGCGCTTTTAAACAAACTATTCCGCTTTATAATATTATTATAGATAATAGCTTTTAGTCTCTTATAATGCTAATATATTAGATAGTATGCATAGGTGATTGTTAATTACCTGATCATATTCATTTAGAAGCTAGAAAATGAGCCTCGGTAAATACGTCTATTTTAATTCGGGTCAACGTTTCATGTACATCATTGTTTGTATAATCTGTGTTATTATATCAGCAGGCAATGTTTATTAAACGTATTGTCATAACTTGTGTTAACATATGAAAATTTACAATGAGATCTTTTAAGATGTTCGTTTTGTTTTTTGATTACGTAATTTTATTTTGAAATAATTACATATTTACTTACTATTTATATTAGTAATATTAGACGGACTGAATATTACTGAGATCATGCGTTTGCCACTTTTTTCTACAAGAAATGATATTTTTTAAATAAAACATTTATAAAACCATTATAACCAGTCACTACAAATGAAAACTTGCCTTTAAAATGTGTATTATATTCCCTATGCGCTGCAAAATGACATATTTTGTCCAAAAATATTAACAAGAAAAATATAAAAAAACTTGCCATATACATCAATCAACCTCCATTAGAAACGATACGAAAAAAAAAATTAAAAAGTTTCTCAATTGATTAATTACATATGTCGAGTGATTCTAATCATTTGCTCACCTATAATTAACATGAATTAAAAATAAAATGGATCCATAACATAATGTTCACATAATAAAAAAATACTAGAATCTCGTAAGTCTAAACATCCATAAAAGCTAAATTGATTGCATTAAAAATCAGTGAATTGTGAAATAAATCCAATTAGTTCAAATTTTATTTGATGCGTCTTGTTTCATTTCTAATTCAGACTCTTGTGGATATCATTTTAAAAAAAAGTGACTGACGAGTAAATTAAATTAATTTAATATTGAATTTCAGGAACAGAAAATATAAAATCTAATTTAATCCAAGACATTAAACAGGACATTCAAGGTACCGATAAAAAAGGCGCTAAAAGAAAAGGCGCCAGTGGACTGTCAAAATAAAATTATTGTTGTTCGATGTCGTTCAAAATTAAAATATCTTTTTGTATGGACAAGAAAAAAACGCCAAAAAGAAATCTCTCTGTACTTTCTTCAAGTGGTTTCAGTGTTTTTTTTATTCAATTGAAAAACAGTTAAGTTTTGGTCAGGTGTTTTGACAATGTGCACAAAATGTTTATTGAAGGCAAGTGTCATTCGAACTCGTAGATATTTTAAAATTGTCTTCACCCTGGTTGCAAATAATTAAGATGGCGATGTTACCTTTTACCTTTGAACTATGAACCCTACATTTTGTATAAATTAGCTTCAGTTAAAAAAGATTTAAGTTCAATTTATTTTACCTGTAATACTCTTTTAAAATGACATCCATTGTTTATTGTATAAAACAACGTAAGTCACGCCCGTTATCCAGACGGGTAGGCAAAGACCACGGACCTACATTTGGCGTGGTCCTGACACACCTCTTTCGTTTCTACATTCATATGTCTACGCATACATCATTATTTTAGGCGAATTCTAATCGTTAATGAAGTATGATTAAATTATTCAAGTGGAAAAAAGAATAAAAAAACTCTTAATGAATTTATAAATATTTATAAAATCAATTTTCTAAACAAAACTACTGACTACAATATGTTATTATTGTAAAACTAATAACAGTCCTTCTATTATGAATGAAAGTGATCAAGCTGAGTTATTGTTGGTTAAAATACCAACAACTAAGACTAAAAACTAAAAGAATACGGACGGCCATGACGGTTATGGTAAGGTTTGCTTAAAAAAGGTTTTAATAATCATTTTCTATATTAAATGTAATCTAGGGTAAAGTTTGAGGAGCATTAAAAAAAAGTAGTAAATTACAATCGGATATTTGTTAAATGTCTTTGTTAGACTTATGACATTTATAATAATAGTACTGGCCACTAATTTGAAAAGCAGGAACTATTTAGATAATAGATGAGATGACAATAATCGTAAAAAAGAATGTGTTGATTTTGGAAAAATGAAAATTTTCATTTCTTGCACAAATTATTCAGTAAATTAGATCGATGGAAAGAGAGCAATAAAAAAAATTACATTACCAATGCTGCCATTGATTATATTTTAATTTTTTTTTTAGTATCTTCTTAGAAAATAATTCTAAAATTCATGGTCACTCTTATAGATAAGAGATGAATTGATAGACGTAATTTAGAGCAGAACGCCTGTATGTACGTTTACATTCTATACCCTATTATCTATTAGAGATAAGTTCGTGACAAATCTCAGATAGTGATTTTCTAACATCAATTATCGCATATGATAAATGCATTAAGTGAGATGAAAATCGCAAACATTGTCGACCTTTGCGTGAAGTATTGGACCTACATTTTGAGGTTAGCTTTGTGTGTTGCTATCATTATTGTGTTTATTTAATTTTGATTACCTTATTTAGCACTTGCGTACTCTGACCTTTTTTTGTTATAAATATCTTTTTGGTTACCAAGTATCTTACCTAAAACCTATCCAATCCAACATGTTTACACCCCGTTGTCTTTATTCAAGATTAACTTGCAAAGATAACGAAACAAAAGAAAACGAACGAAAAAAACTCTGCCCATACACATCTGTCACAAGCTAAAGAGTTTTTGGCATTACCTAGGTTTAATAGACAATACGGAATCAAAAGAAAAGGAAAAGAATCTCCAATTAATCTTCTCACCATTTCTAAAATTGTTTTTTAATTATTTCAAACGCCTCTTATACAGTATGTATACACACGTAAATTATAACAATTACTCTGTAATATTCTGACATACAAGTTTAGAGCGAGAAGTGGTCCCAATGGGCAAAAAACAAAGAAATTGTAGTTACAATTTAATCAAAGTTTTGTGTCGGAATAAAAGAGAAGGAAATAGGACTGGGTCAACATATTGTTTACACGATCAATTATTGGGGATTTCACTTATTACTTCCATCTTTATCCTATCATCTTTCACACAATCCATCCACCTCATCTTAATTCTTCCTCTTCAAAAACAATAACATTGTAATAAACATTACGTTCAATACATGTCGACCGCCTCTTTATTATACGTCCATCAATAATTACATGACGTAAAAAAGAGCAAAAAAAAACTAAAAAAAATCATCTTCCATTTTCCGAGAGTTTTCCGCCTTGACCACCAGTCTAGTAGTAGTCGCTCTAGTAGCGTTGGTCATAAAGAATTTCTATTTGGTTTTAATTTTTTATTAATGTTTTTTATCTACATTTGAATAACAACGGGAAGCTGATATGAATACATTTGGCTTAATTATTTTAAAAAGAAATTATAAAAATACCATTCGCAATATTTATAAGAAGTTTTTTCATACTTTATAAATCTTTCGCTGATTATTACAATGATAAGGAATAATTTTTATAACATAAATATCAAAACATCTCGATATAGCACATGCATTAGATTTTTTTTTCTTAAACGTTCTTCGCTCCATAGTTTTGTTTATTCAATACTGACTGTTCCAGTCGGATGTTTTTGCGATCCGAGCGGTTCGGTTGTACGCAGAGTATGCAAACTGCAACAACTCGTCTTATACTTTTGTGTTTCATTTTTAATATCAAAGTTTTAGAAATTCAATGCCCGTGTATTCATAACTTCTATTTCAAAGACTCTAACTATCGTATTCTTCGCCATATTTAGGATTCATAATCACTTTGTGTTATTCAGATCAATCCTATTGCTTTTTTAATATTTGAATATTATTTTTGTTAAAAGGATATATATTTCTTCTTCAAAAAATTTACTATTATTTCCTACCTTTTAATATTAATGCAGAAAAATAATTATTAACGAGATAATAAAAAAAATTCGTACACCGTAATTTTTTATTCACTGTAGTTCATTATTTTAACCGTCTGTTTCTAAATTTAAAAAATCTTGAAATTTATTTTTAAAATTATAAAACGTCGACCGAATTATCAAATTCCACAGCACTGAAAAAAAAAAGTAAAAACTAAAACTCACCGTTTACCGCCAAAATTGCTATGACAGATGATATGAGATGCTTCATTATAAAAATTAAAAAAAAAGTTTTAATAAAAATTAAAGGAAATAAATGTACGTTCAGGTATGCTTGCTGCCGTGGTGCTTGCAGTTTATATACTACAGTTTGCGCTGCGGCGAGCCGCGCTTTCAATGGCCCAACGCGTCATAGCCGTGAGAACTAACCCTAAAATGCCACTACACATTTTCCTTTTGGATTTTTCTGCACACAGCATATAGGTAGACCAAATTATTATTTTTCTTTATTTCTGATTCCACAATTTATTGGATTTTAGGAGATATTGAAAAGGAGTTTGCACTTTGACTAATGAGACTAAATTTCTGACAATACCAAATCAATTTTTTTCGAACCATTAGTTGTTACTTGTCGGGGGTACGAAGCGATTACTCTCAGATCTGGAAATTCTCGTGAAGGGAATAAGTACCTTTATTATGTTATATTTACTTCTGTTTATTTAAACGTGATTCCACATCATGATAATTGTTTATTTGTTTCTTGGATTTATTACATTACGATTTATAAATTCTTCAATAGGTTTTAATGCCATCTGGTAAGATGACTATTTTATTAATACATAATACAAAAAAAAACACAAAAATAACAATTTTAAAAACGAATAATTTCTGTGTTTATGAATGCGAAAAACTGGAACTCATTACGCATGTTTATCGAATCGATTAAAAATCGTCGTATTACAAATGTGTTACTAAGCTGTTGAACTAATTTGTAAGATAGCATCTCTGTTGCATTATTTTTTTCAGCGGATAATTAAAAGTGTATGATTATCTAAAATTCAGTTGGTCACATTTGGTTCGTGTGGCATTCAAAGTGTTGAGGGCTGATCGCCCAACGGGCCAAATACTCTGAACAATAGATGATAACATAGCAATAACTCCCTGAGATGATATAAGTTATAGAGCCACCGTCCAAACATGCCATTGATTAGAATCATAATAAATAATATCATCGTTGAACAAAATTAAAACATCGCAAGGACATCATCAGACGATGTAATAATAGTTATTTTATAATACGACTAACTGGTGCACGTGAAATTACTTTCCGCGGAAAATAAACTACTAAGTAACTATTTAATTGTATCATTTTAGAATTTTTCTTTATTAGATCAAACGACATCTACAGACTTTTGGTCCGTTTTCTTGCACACATCCCTTACGCTAAATTACAATAGTGAGTTTCTTTTTTTTATTTCTATTAACAACAACATGTGGTCCAGGAGGCAGTAGGCATTTGAGAAGTTATCTAAAACATGGCGCGTGTGGGTTCGGAAATGGCGAAAGGATGAATGTTTTGTGATGGTAAAGAAAGCGGTGATATGTGTATTTTAGAGATCCGAGACGAATTTCTATCGAACAGATTGGTGAGATTCTATCTACAGTAAAGTGAAGTATTTGCGTAAACAATAAAATATATTAGTATAGTTTAAAGATGCATTTTTTCTCTTATGCAATATTATTACTATAGAACATTTTGTAACTTTAAAAACTCGTTAAAATACATTTAAACCATCTCCTATTGTCACAGTATAAGGGATGATTTTTCATTAACATAAAAAAACTATCTCTCACCAACTCTTCCAAGACAATTTAAATTTTTCACCCCCCATTTCAATTGCAAATATATTTATAACGGCTAACAGTATTTCCTACAACCTTGATCAAGTTTAAAATACCCGGTCGTGGAGGTAAAGAAACTATAGCCTTAGTATTTCTCAATTCACGTAAAATTTATCACAAACAGCTCAGAAGAAAAGCGGACAAGTTTATCTGTTGCCAGTATCTTTATTTCTGTTCAATAAATACTTCGTGGTGTCTATTTTATTCCTTTATTTCTATTATATTAGACCACAAAGACCATAACAATTTATTTCTATATAATGATAAATAATGATTAAATGATTAATCATCTCTATTGTACGATCTTAAGGGTGTTTATTAACAAAAGCATTAGACGCCATTTTATATCTATTTCTAAAGCAAGATACGTAATAAGACCATTGTTTTTGTCCTGAAAACTTTAATAGATTTTCGTCTACATTACATAATCTTTATCAATATAACTTTTATATAAAATTTATATCCAATGGTCATCACACGTGAACGGATCGAACTATTTCACTAATTCTTTTTTTATTATTATCAGGAGAAGATTCTTATGAAAGAAAAATTTAAAAAAATAGCGGAACATTTGAAGTCAATATTTATAGTTAAAGCACGACAACTTCTTTTAGATCAGCTCGTATAAAAAAAACATACAGACGAACTTATAACCTTCTTTTTGAAATCGGTTTAAAAGATGGCGCGCGGCTCACGTCGCGTGGTTAGTGGAAAAGGAATCTAAGGAATGAACAAAGATAAAAACACAACTTGACAATGTCCAAAATATTGAAAATCAACCAATAGCAACAGTAGGTAATAGATAAAAGTTTCAGTCACTGTTGAAAAATTACTACTGAGAAAACTAGTACTAAACAGTTCTTTCTACAAAAACGTAATCATTGATTAACTATGCCCCTTTGATTTACAAGTGTTATGTCTTAAAGTTGACTTATCAGTTGGATTATATATGGTGACTGTGACCGGTCATTACCACCTGCAAAAGTAATGCAGTGTCTCTACCGGCGTTAGGGTAGGGCGCGGTTGGGCGACCGCCCAGGGCACCACAGGTCATATCAAACAGACTCATATAACCATGTTAACCTCCCCCCAAACAAAAAAGTAGTTGAAGTCTCGCCCAGCTCGCTAGTAAAACCATTACTGAGCAGAACGCATCTGATACTGCTTAACTCTTCATCATCATCAGCTCATTATACGTCCCCACCGAGGGCCTAGTTAGGGGTGACTAGGTCCTAGTCAACCACGCAGACCAAGTGCGGGTTGGTTTACTTCACACATATCTTTGAATTTCTTCTCAGATATGTGCAGGTTGCATTACGATGTTTTTCTTCACCGTAAGAACGTCGGATAAATGTACATATGTAAATCGAAAATCGTAAAACACATTGGTACATGGCGGGATTCGAACCCAGGACCTGCAGATTGCAAGTCAAGAGCTTGTCACATGAGCCACCGATGCTCATACGCTTAACTCTTGCAACATTTAAATTTATATATTATAAGTATCTATTTTGGCTAAAGGGGGAAATACAAAAGTGCGCGCATAGACACTAAAAGGTGCATTTGTCCAGTCCAGTCATAAGAATAATCAAAGAGTTCGATGTGTCTGCATTGTTTGTAATATTTTAATTGATCCCGACTTCGAGATAGCCTACATATATGTACATATAACATACAACAAAGAGATGAACATGTTACGCGCGTTATGATCGACGAAGCAAAACTCTTTGTACAAGGGGTATTTAATTTTGCGTGTTAATAATAACTAATGGTGAAGTGAGGTCGCAGAGATAAAACAAAAAACAATTGTAAAATAAGCATGTAAAGCGTAACATAGTATTAAGTACCTACTAATTTTTAAGACGCAACAGAGCTGGCACCATCGGACCCAGGGCAGACGACAAAAAATAACAACGCCTAAAATTGACTTTTAGATTTTGTTAATGTCCTTGATACTTGCGAAAGAAAACAATGTCGGCCATCATACATTTAATAGTTTTGGTATATTTTAATTATACTTCAATTATGTTTCAATATCACGTATTTATTTATTTATCATATTCTTAATAAGTGCATTTCATATATAAAATAAAAAAATATACAAAATATATTAAAAATAGAGCACCACCGACTGTAGAATGACTCAAACAATCAGTGGTCAGGGCTGCAGGGACAGGAACCTTCTCACGATGCGCGCGATTTATAGGATAACTGCCTTTTGTATCGGGCCCTTAAACCAACTGTTTAGCGAGAGTTTCTTATGTTTCAATTATTATTATTCTTTTTAACTAAAAATAAAGATAAGTCCAAAGGTACAACTCTTTTACATAATTCATCTTCCTCATCATGGACAGCTTCCTTTTTAAATCACAATATAACCTTAAAAAGGTAATGTTAATTATGCATGTGTACGACGCAGATTTATTTAGTGAGTAGATGTTCATCACTTAATTGTGTCGGGATACGCAAATCGCGTAGACATTTTCATACAATACGTTAAATCTAAGCGCCTTGGAGCCTTTTACATATGGCCCAAGTTACAAGATGTGAGAGTGTTGAATATCTATTGATAGATTCTTGAATAATCATCACCATGACATTGTAGCTTATTATGATAAATCTTGTCTGTTTAATTACAAATTCTTTAACTTTTATAAAAATAAACAATCCGAACAATGTTATGAAAGATGACCATAGTCTTGCCTTTGGCTTTATAGCAGTTCGGAAATAGGTAAAAAACTTTTTGTCCAATAATTAAAACATTTAAAAGTTTAAAAGATTCCTTGAGAATGTTTTAAATTTCGAATTCTGCCACATGACATACCCGATCGGATACATTTCTATACAGGATCCAAATTAAAAAAAAACTACAAACGAATTGCTTCTTTCTCGGTTTTCGTGCTTTAAACCACAAACAAAATATTAATTCTGTTATCGTACGGTGTCAAATAACATCCATCACTGCGGACAGGCGGGGTCTCGTGGACGTAAATCATGTATTCCGCGCCTAACCTAATTATTAATTTGTTTTATAGACGTGTGCCTATTGTTTATTCTCCACTGTCGATCGTTTTATGTTCCGAGCTTATAACTTATAGATGTAGGCGGAGTCTTGTCATTTTTATTGCTTTTTATATTCCGCCTAGTTATTCATATTACCTGCAGCTCTATATTGTTGCTGAAAATTTTATCATACTCGCGTACTAAAGTAATATGTACTTTACATAGTGGTAAAACTACGTCTAAATAAAATGAACTATTATTTTGAGTGTTTAGAAGTTTTCCGATCGACGGTTGCGCACTGCATTTTTCTATTGGAAATTGAACCCATGACCAACAGGGGTTTTACTTACTCGCGGTTTAAACGATCTTAATATTTTTTTAAACCAATAATGAAATATATTGTTTTAGTTTAAAGTAAAAAATACCTTGGCGGCTTATGTCATAAATTGGGTGTTGCCATATCAATGATGTTGGTCACATGGTGGCGCTTGACAGTATTATTCGAATAAAATGTTCGCGATACGCATTCCTAACGAGATTCACTTAAGAGGAAGCCGATTCGTCATTACAATAATTAATAAAGTACTCGACTTGTTACCGGCTCTAATCTCTTATTTTTTAAATCATACCAATTTATTTATCTATATTATTCAACTTATTAAACTCTCCTTTCTTCTTGATACCTGCCTATTTAAATATATTCTGATAACTATATCTCACGTTCAGTACTAGTCAAATAGTCACTTTTAGTATAGCGAAAGCGGCACAGGTTTTCTTTAAACATTGAAAACATAAAACACAAAAACTTATCAACTCCCCCTTAATCAAATTATTATTCTAGATTTGAGCCAATTGTCTAGATCTGATAACACCACATATTTGGCTAAATCTTTTTCATTGGTATGTAATCATCAATTCTAGTAAGTTCTTAATATCATAAAGCGGAAGAGTTTGTTTGTTTAAACGCGCTAATCTCAGGAACTACTGGTCCGATTTGAAAAATTCTTTTTTATTGGATAGTCCATTTAGGCTATATAACATTATGCTGCGACCAATAGTTTTTTTTTAATTTTTTCACAATAAGTAATAACAAAATAGCATGAAGTTAGACCAGTAGATCTATGTCAGTGTCCTCCAGTGATCTTTTTGCATGGAAGGAATAATGAATATGATGGTTCTCAATTTGAACGAGAAATGTAGCAAGGGCCCACCGAAACCAGTAAAATTTTGAAAGGAGTTTACGAGAACTCAAAAAATTGGTTCTCTGCGATTTATTTATACCCAAGAAAATACAAAAATGAACATCATTTTCTTCTTTAAACAGCTAAAATGCCATTACGTATTAATGGCAAATAAAGATAAAGACATATACAATGTAGGTTATTTTTATTTTAGTAATTAATGGTATTCATATACATTTGTTACACGTAAGTGCAGTGAATGTTTAATGTTATTGTAATTACTTCCCACTATTATAGGAGAGTCGCTATGGCGGATTTCATCTCTACTAACGCAATGTCTACCGATGATGTGTTTTTTTTATAATGTATCAAAGAACGTGATCTTCGATGCTTATGGCATCATGGCAGACATCGGCAACCACAGAGTAACAGGCGCTTGGCTGAATTTTGAGAGAGGTGCGCACGCGTCTTGAAGGACCTTAAGCCGTAGCGGTTTGTAATATTGCAGTATTATAAAGAAATCACTTTTTTGCCATAAATAAACTCGTTCCTAACTGTTTTATCATGCCTTATTTTAGAGATAAACACGTGATAGTAGGAGTGAAATTTTTGAAAAATTATTGAGAAAAAAAAATAGTTTTAGTATTATAATAAACAACAAATAAAAGATCCAATATTTAAAGTGATATAGCGAAAACTTAATTATTGCTATAGTAACGCCATCTATCGGTTATAGAATGTTTTCCACTGATGTTTTAAAAATGTAATAAAAAAAACTTAGTACTTTATTTATTTTTTATTATAAAATTTCTATAAAAATGTATATTGACATTTAGTAACAAAATGGATTTAAAGTTAATAACATAACCTACAAATTATTTTATTTTAAAAAAAATCTTATACAAAATTCAGTCTAAATATTACAAATTATCATCAACAAAGTTCAGCTTGATTTTATAATAAAACATAAATTTCCAATCAATATTGTCATCATCATCAATCATGATTATAACAAAAACTTATTGATAGAACTGTGAATCAAGAATAATCGAAATTTTCCATTGCCCATTAAAATTAAATCAAACTAAAGTTAAATTACTAAAAAATGTCTTGGTTTTGTCAATATTTATATGTATACAATGAAAATATACTTGTCAATTTGTTCTGTAATATAAATATACAACTATTTTTGTTTGTTATTTCTGTCTTGATAGCCTTGTCTATACATTTCTGCCAAATCCTAATCATCGCATGAACTTTCCAAAACATTCTTCGAAAGTATGGTAGATTAGTTAAAACAAATGTAAACTAACATGCATAGAATCTCCATGGATATAAGAATTGGACTACATATTGACAAAAATTCACTTCGGAATAGAAACGGAATAAAAACTTTTGCTACATTCCATCCCCCAACCCTCTTAATCATTGGCTGGCGATGCCTTTGTCAACCGCTATCCCTTTGCTGAACCCATTTGAAGATTGAAACATGGCAAGATAATTATGATTGTGAAAAAGCTACAGACAACTGTAAAATTAAAAAAGAAACCTTTCTTTTAGATATGTATAGTCTACATGTATTCAATGTTAAAGACCCACAGCTATTTTTTAAATGATAAAATATATTTAAATGTAGACTACATTTAAAAAAATGATGGCAAGTCAGTAAATGATGCTTAAGAACTATTTAATCTAGAATTCTATTAGACGTGTCAATAAGTTTAAATATCCTAGATTTAAACACAGATGGCACTAAAAACTAAAGCTAATGTGTCTTTTATTCTTACTAATATTATAAATGAAAATGTTTGCATGGATGAATCTTGGTTTGAAGGTATCTTCAGAATGGCTGAATAGATTTTTATGAAATTTGGCACACATAGTCTGGAAGAATACATAGGCTACTTTTTTTATTTCAAGCGAACACAGTCGCGACTAACAGCTCGTAATACAATAAAGTTTAAGCAAAACTAAAAGGATACAATATACTACTAGAATAAAGAAATATAAATATATAGTAGTCTTTGACAAGCCTTAAATTATACAATTTAACCATACATTCTTAGTAATATTTTTTCAACTGTTACACAATTATATATATATATATGTGTGTGTGTGTTTCTTCAGTCGGAATTCAGTAATTGAGCTAAGCATTTTCTCATTTTCTCCGGTACAGGAACACCAGAATGTGCTGGCTTTGGACGTCTATTGCGCATTGGCTTTTTAGCGCTCTTGGTCACACTTCCTGTCACATTTGCTTGTTTGTTCTCTTTTTTACAAGATTTTGGAGTGACTGGTTTCGGTGCTGGTACTGTCTTAGGTTTTGTCTCAGCCACCTCAATTTTATTGGCTGGAAATTTAATAAAAATAAATTATTGTTATTATTACACATTTACTAGATCTCTATACCTATGAGAGATTTATGCCAACCAGACTGGTAAAGAATGGGCGGTATTAAGAACACGAGATCATGTATCTATGTGAGAGAGTTAAGGTAAGGCAGAATGTTTTATAGAAAAATTTAATAACACATAAATTTACTTACTCTTGACTTCCTTCTTTTTTGCAATCTTTACTCCTTTAGTTGGCTCTCTGTGAGTTTGGTTATCCCTGGGAGCCATTTTATCTTCTGTGTAATACGGTGTGTATTTAAAAATTAACTTACTTTAATTCCAAGAGTAAAACAGTCGATTATAAGTATTTGAATTATAACGGTTTACAAGCTTGCGACGATTGTCAATGTGTCAATACAAATATAGCTTTCTGTCTGTTGTGCCAATGTCAATGTCAAAACATTTTTTCGCATATTTTGTCGTGGTAACCAGATCTTAAAGCCAAATGTGAAATCAAGCAAACATCCATAATCAATAACATTCATATATATGATCACATTGTGAAGTACTCAGAGGTTTCCATTGTGTTTGTTAAAATACGATTATAGGCATTTTAATGACGTTTATTACCAACAATAATAATGTATGAGATTTTTAAAATTAGACATTTCTTATATTTTTTGTTTCCTATGTTACTAAATTTTCTGTTAATAAGTTCAAAAAGTCCGTATTTAAGATATTATGTACCAAAAATAACTTTCAAGTTAAATGCTTAACTTAATCAATATGTAAATGTTTTGCAGATAAGTTGCAATAAGTAATGGCAACATTGTTATCTATTTTTCGCGACGTCCATCTTTAATCTTTGATGTGTTGTGTTGTTAATAAAATTGATATAAAAATATTATTAAAATAGGTTTTAAGTGAACATTTTGAGACATTTTTTATTTAATACTAACTACAGAAGTATTTTACCGATGCACGAACAGCAGGCATCGTGCCGTTTCTGACTTAGTCAGTTGTCACAGTTTCATTATCGTTTGTTCCACTAAAAGTTTCACTCCAATTCGTTGCTATTGACCTAAGTGCTAATTGTCCAACCTTCAGATGTTTTGCTTAGCTAACCTATAGGCGGCAAAGTGTATAAGCACATCTCGAGCTTTTGCAACAAACGTTTGGTGATTGTTGTCAAAACAGATGATTTGTGAAAATGGATAGATTGAATCAGTTGCGGAGCGAAGCGGGAGGCTCTGGAGACTCATCATTGGACACGTCTTCGGCGGCCAGTGAGGCTTATTTAACTGCGAACGAGAATTCTAAATATTATTCATTGTTAGAAGATGACGCGAGCTTTACTATGGGAAAAGATGTCAATTCCGATCAAGAAGCGGTGGTCGCAGATAATTCGATGATATCGGATTTATCACCGATTTCTAAATCGAGTGATTTGGACAGTTACAAGATCGGTAAACAAATAGAGGCTGCGAATATTTTATCTGGTGGTATTAATATTTTCGAAGATAATGAAAACTCGTATGATGGCGATGAACTTGTTATCGACGACAATGCTCTGGAGTCTGATGAAAAAACTAATTTGGATGAGAAAATTATTGAGGATATTCCATATGGTAAGGTTGAAGATAACTTGGCGGGAAATATAGATGATGTAGAGCCAGTGATACCAAGTAAAGACACGGAAGTGGTCCTCCAGATTGATGGTAAAAATGTCGATGCTATAGATATTGGCAATGGCTTATATTTGTATAGGAAAGAGGGTGAAGAGGAATTAGCGGCTGTACAGATAGTAAATGATGATCAGCAACAGTCCAGCTTCAAATTCCTGAAAGTGCGGTAAGTTTTTACTAAAATTTTAGTCAATACAAGTACTTACTACTACTCTTATTGTATTTATTCACACAATGTTGATTTAATGTTAATATTACTATGACTTGTGCTGTTTATTTAACCATGTGTTAGTTGAACATTTACAACTTACTTTATTGGTAGTATCAAAATTACTATGGTATATTCTAGTTCCACATCATATGGTTAGTGGAATGATTTACAAAATACATATCAATGTAGAAGAATCAAATTTGAAGCATCAATAGCCTAATGGTTAAGGATATGGATTTCTGATTACAAGATCAGGGGTTTGAATCCCAACATTCGGCTATTGTTGTAAACCACATCCTTGCACAAGCATAGAACTTATTTAGAATGTTACAGGAAATATTAGTAAACTAACTGTCACCTGCGACTCCAACCGTGCGGAACGAAAAAAAAACATAATTACTACCCTATGTGTTCTTCCAGACTATGTTCTATATGTATGCCAAATTTCATAGAGATCTATCCACTGTTTTGGAGATACCTTCAAACAAACATCCATCTAAACATTCGCATTTATAATATTAGTAACATTAACAAAAATCTGCTTATATTTTCATTACAAAAAAATTAAAGTTGAAATTCAGGTTGTTTATAAAGGCAACTTTCAAAAAAAGTATTTGCGCTTTTGTATCTGTGAAGATGTAATCTCAAAATATATTTATATTGGTTTAATGATTGCTGAAGATAGTTAAAAAGGAATTGTGATGCATTTATTTATTTTTAGAAATGATATTGATTGGTTAAGACTTCACTTTATTTATAGATCTTCTTATCTTTGTTTGTTCAGTTATATGTCACATTATACATGTTTTTAAAAGGGTTTTTGCTTGAAATGAATGAAATAAACACATAAAGTACTGGAATTTTGTTTGTTTTGTTCTTAGATGAAGAACAACAAAGGCTTAGGATTTCTAGATGCTTCATTGTGTAACTAAACTGTTGCTCTAAAAGTGGTCCATTTCCTTGCTACTTTAAAATTAGTTTAGCCTTAAAATAATTTAATTTGGTAATGATTGCTCTGGTGAGTATTACAAACAGAATTTTATAATTTCATTTCAGAGAGAACTCTGAAGGGAATTTAGAAGTCTATGAAGAAATTGAAATAGAAGTCCCAAAGGAAGTTGTAAGTTTTGCATGTTTTACATGACAGACACAATAATTGAATTGCTTATTTAAAGTAGCTGTAAAATAAAATATTGTCTGCCTACAAACAACTTGTACATTTTACTATGTTATTTTTTCAGCCTGTGAAGGAAGGAAAATCAATTGAGAATGTATCTCACATCCCAATAAAAGACATAAACAAAGTAATTAGTGAACCCACTAAAGTTGATGAAAAGAAAATCGCTAGCCCTCAAAAAGAAACACCTACAAATGAAATCAATGTAGAATTGAATAAAGAATCTCTGTCAGATTCAAAGTCAGAAGTCAACTTAAATGGAAAGATGATGAAGTTCAGTGAATCTCGAAAATCACCTGTTGTTGGTAGTTTCACACCTATGACATATCATTCTACACCTAATAAAGAAGGTATTCCATTAACAAAGACTATGGTTGATCAGCAACTACACCCTAGCAGACATTCAGATAATGTGAAGAAAACAATAGAAGTCCACACTGATAGCTCCAAGCAAAAGAATTTAGATGCACCAGTTAAAAATTCAAAAGAAATTTGTGAAATAAATGTACCAGTAATTCCAGATAAGGAGTCACAACAAACATCAGATGAAAACAATGATATGAATGAAACACTTCCAGAGAAAAGTAATGATGATAATGAAACACTTCCAGAGAAAAATACTGATAATAATGAAGCACTTCCAGCGAAAGATATGATAGAAAATCAAGATAAAATTGAGGATACAGGTAATGAGGATACAGAAGAGAAGATCATTAAAACTACTTTGGAGGTTAACAAATCCGATACATCAGCACCAAAAGATGAAATAATAAGTGAGGATATTATTATGAAAGAACCACCAAAGAATGTTAATGAATTATCTACCCAAGATGAAGAAGTAACAGAGCCAAGTAATAACACTAATAACCCATCAATTGTAAAGAATAATGTAGTTCTTGGAAACTGTGTCGACATTAAAGATATTTCTGAAGACATAGATGAGTCAATAGTTGAATCTAAACAAGAATGTGAAGTTATGGAAATCGACCAGACTATTGTGAACAGCAAAATAGAAGAAATGCAAACAGAAGAAAGTGTAACAGTGGAGAGTAATTCAGAAACAAAATTAGAGAAGGAAATGACAGGTGCTACTATTTCAAATAATAGCACACTTGAGGCGACTGTGGAGCCAGTAAAAGATGTCGATATTACAATGCAAGACACTACGATTGAAAGTGTGAAGCTAACAAAAGATAAATCCCAATTACAGAATGAAGAAATTGATAAAGCGACGAAAAACACTCCCCACGAGAGTAAAAACTTGATAACAGATGAGATAAAAACGGATCAAAATGTACAACCAACATTAGATTTGCCAAAAACAAATTTAATACAACAAGAAATAAAACCCAATAAGAAAGAAGATCAAGATAATACTAAAATTATTATGGAAAAGACAATAAAGGAAGAAGGCAACAATCACAACATGATTGAGAAGAATGTTATAGCTCCACCACCTGTTGATTTGAAGGATAAAACTAAAATACTTGAAAGTCATGATAAAATTCAATCTAATGTAAAAAATGAAGCTAAAAAGGAAATTCCTAAAATTACGAAACATGCAGGCTCAAAAGTTGTAAACAATAACAATGCTGCAGTTCCATTTGGCAAGTGGACAGAAGCTAATAGACAAGAGTTTCTTAATAAAATCAAAGAAACTAAAGTTACAACTAACAGTTCTAATACGAAGCAGATCAAACAGCCGAACGATTTGAACAGAAGAGATGTACTGCAGAAAATTGATAGTCAAAGACAACAAACTAATAATGCTATGGCGAAGGTACAAGAACATCAAAAACTAAGCTCTAACAAAAACGAAACGGCTGTATTTGTTAAGTCTGCTGTCAAAAATGACGCGAAACCAAATCAAGTCAAAGACCGTCCTGCGACAAAAACAAAACCTGTAACTAATAAAAAAACTACAAAAGATGATACTTCAGGAAATCATCAAGCTGACTCTGCCAATTTGATGTCACATTCACACGCAAATATGAAAGAGTTATTACAAAGAAGGGAAATAAACAATCAAGCTCTAATTGACAAAACTGTTGAGGACATTATAAACAGAGTCCCTCCAGCTAAAACCACAAATAAGGATCGAACACAAAATAATTCAAACATGGAAGGAGTAGAAAAACAGAAAGGTATGACTTTATTTGGACCTTCATATCATGCCAACAACAATCAACCTGTAACTTTAGATGAAATTGAAACCAAAATGAATGAATTACATGGCATACCTTTTGTAGAAAGACCAGCTCATGAATTACCACAGAAATTTGTCGTTGATAATATTTTATCTTTGCAAAATGATAGTCATAAAAACAAAACCACCAATCAAACCAATGTGTTATCACAGTTCAACAACAACAAAAACATTGTGCAACACACAAACGAAATTGTGCATATAGATTCAGACGACGAAATAATCGAACATGAACCAATAACGGGAGATGTAAATCTGAAAAAGATACCTTCAGGAGATGCAAAACAAACACGTGACTTAGAAATGGAACTAAGTCACAAAGCGAATGACGAATCTAAAAAAGAAGTTATAATAACAGAAAAAGATTTTGATAAATTTTACAGAAGAAATTCTGTAACTTATGAAAATTGTCTTACCGTTAATTTAGATGGCAAAGAGACACATAATATTGTGCAAACTGCGGTAGAGAAAGATATCGCTCCAAAGAAGTTGACCAGGAATGAAGTGCTATTGGCAGAGTCTAAGGCGAAGTCCACGCACAAACAGCAAATGTTACAAGCGCGACACAGTAACTATCACAGCAAAATACCTGTTTCTAATAAACATCAAACATCTGAGGAAGAATCTCACGGAAAGAATTATCAATCAAAAGTGCAAATTGCATATCACACTGCATTGACAGCTAAACGTCAAAAAGAAAGTCCAATTACAATAATTGAAGAGAAACCAGTAAAGGTCGTGTTTATGGATTCTAATATTGATTTCGTACCAAGTCAACTAAATGTACAAGGTGAAAAGTTATCTCCAATCAAACAATTTACAACAGATTCAGAAACGTTTACCCATAGTACAACAGATTCCATGGATTCTGATATTTTAGACAACTTCGATAATAAAACGCAAGAGGAGACTAAAACTACTAAGAGTAAACATCAGAGAAAACAGGTGTTGACTCCTGTAGAGGCGCCAGAAATGGAATTAATTCAATCCGACGATATAGGAATTGAAATATCGCCAAAGAAAAAACGACGTGTTGAAGATAGGCTTGACAAAAGTCCTAAAAATCATGTTCCGAAAAAATCATACCTCCTAGGACGTACTAATGCTGATGACAAAAACAAATCTCCTGAGGTAGATAAAGTTGCTTATAATGATATTAACAACCACACGAATACGTATGTTGCTCATACTAATCCAATAAGTGCCATTGATAATTTGGTTAAAGCTGCCGAATTATTGGAAAATCAAGCTGAAAACAGCAGTAGTTCGATAAAAAGTCAAGATTCTGACACACAACAGCAAACGCCTCCAAAAAGGGGACGGGGACGTCCGAGAAAATATCCACTTCCTGATGCAGACTCAGATAAAAGTAAAGATCCGAGTCCACAGAAGAAGCCAAGGTTAATAGATACCGAAAAACCTAAACCACCGAAAGATCCGAAACCACCGGAAGATCCGAAATCACCGGAAGATCCGAAATCACCGGAAGATACGAAATCACCGGAAGATCCGAAATCACCGGAAGATCCGAAACCACCGGAAGATCCGAAACCACCGGGAGACCCGAAACCACCGGAAGATCCGAAACCACCGGGAGACCCGAAACCACCGGAAGATCCGAAACCACCGGAAGGTCCGAAACCACCGAAACGTCCGAGTCCCCCGGCAAACGATGAAGACCCTAGCGAAGAAGAAATCGTACTAGAAAATTGGACAATGGGTAAAATTAATCAAAAAATAGCGTGCCCTATTTGTAAAAAGATTTACCGAAATGAAAATGTAGTTTTTAAACATGTTAAACATTGTACAGGTCTATCGCCAAATCGTTTAAACAAGTCTTACACAAGGCCAGGAGATCCTGAAGAATGTGTAAATAAATTACACGATATTAAATCTGATGACAAGGATATAGAAGAAAAGGAAATTCTGACTGCGAAGAAAAGAAATTCAAGAGACAGTGTATCTAAAGTTTCTAATCCAGATGAAGACATAATAGAAGAAACGATTAATAAAGAACAAATGGCTAAGCAACGCGAATCAAGAAAATCGACATTAAAAGCCATAAATGTTTGTAAACCTTTTATTAACATAGTATGTGAAATTTGCGGAAAGAGTTTCCGACACTTGTCGTACTTAGCTCATCATAAATTGCAACATAAGAATGAAGATTCGAAGAAAAATGATAATGACACGAATGTCCCTAAGTCAGTTTTCAGTTGTGAAATATGTAAAAAGGAATTCAGAAAGTTGCATCATTTAGTGCAACATAGGATTATTCATAATCCTAGTTCTATGCCGACAAGAACACTGCGGAAGAGTTCATCTGAACAAGTCGACAATAAAATTGCTAAAGAGCAGAGTGCTTTAAAGCAGACGGAGGACCACAGTGCTGGGTTCCGCTGTGAGCCTTGTGACAAGTCGTTTAGAAAACTCCATCATCTTGTCGAACATAGAGAGACGCACGATGGAATAAATAGACAAAAAGCTATTGAAGTAGAAACTCCGAAGGCAGTACAGACCCATCAATGTGACATTTGCGATAAAACGTTTAAGAAAATTCAACTATTAAATGAACACAAGGAGCAACATTTAGAGACGTGTTCCGAAAAATCTGATGATAAAAGTGTTAAAAGCTCATTCAGTTCTACAAAAGACATTATACACGAATGTTCATTATGTTACATGGTTTTTCCCAACGAGCTTTCTTTAAATAAACATACAGAAAAATGTTTAAGAAAAAAGAAACAGTCAATTGCAAAAGCTAAACAAGCCGCTTTAAAGAAAGAATTAGAAGGAGAAAGTTTAGATACCGAAAGTCGTCAATCGGAAGAGTGTCTTAATGAAACAGATGATTCATTGATTATCGTGGAAGATGATGAAGAGGACAGCATTGAGCCAATTAATATCAAGCAAAATAAACTAGACGATGATAGATATATAAGCGTAAGCAAACTTGGAAATTTCGAGGCTGAGAATACTATTAACGCTGGATTTTTATTGAGAAAGCAAACACACGTAAATATTGTTATGCCTATGATACAGGATCCGGTTATAAAAATAACTGAAGCAAAAGAAAAAGTACTACAACAAATTGTAACCGAAACTGTTATTAACAAAGAAGTAGATGTTCCCCAACACATACCTTCAAAGATAAAAAATGACGAAAATCTTAAACCAAAAGTTAATGATACTTTAGTCGATAAGAAAAAGAATATAAATAAAGTCATCCCGACTATAACTAAACGAAAAAAGAGTTTCAATACGCCGCCCGCTCCTCTCGCTGAGTCTGTTTTAAAGCCTTCGATAGAATCGAGTGATGAAGATGACGTAAGATACATGCTCAATCCGGATTTCCAAGAAGAAACATCAATGGAAGAAAAAAGCTTTATGAAGATCAAAACTAAAAAGCGCAATTCTTTACATTTCGAAAGACCCAGTTCAAGGGATTTGTTGAAAAGAAGGATTTCTATGCAACTGCCGCTCAAAACGTCTCGCTTGAAAAAAACTATAGAACAAATGTCTGTTGCACCGACCTCATCCACAGCGACTAAGTCAACTCCCAAAGCCAATGAGAAGCCAACCACTGCCACTGATTCTGATGACAGCGACACCAAATATGCCTTACCCGAAACCATCAAAGAAACCCCCACCGCTAGTGAAGTGAAGAAACCGCAGAAAAGGAAATCGATCGCGAGCAAACGGAAATTATTGAGTGGTGGTGTAGTTAAGAGAAAATCATTGGGAAAGCCTACTAATATAAAGCACAAATTGAAACCTGAACAAGCAAAACCTATTAGAAAACGTAAGTATTTTCTTGCTATTTAAATTTTTACAGACTTATCAAGTTTAAAAATATTCTTAATCCTTGTCAAAAATCTGTTCAATATCGAGGTCAGTTTATCTCGTAAGTCCAGTGTCAATCATCATTGTCATTTACTTAATTTATCAATGTAATGTTTATTTAATTATATGCAGGCACAACAGAAGTGGAACACAGATGCGATTGTGGTAAGTTGTTCAGTAGCGCGGCGCTGCTGTCGCGCCACACCACGCTCGATCACACGCCGCCACGCAGCCGGCGGCGTCGGTCACCTCCGCCCGAAGTCCACGCTAATGTCGCCAAAACTACAAGAAAAACTCCCCCGAAAAAAGCTATTGTTAAACCAACTGTGCGACCTAAAACAATTGAATTGAATGAAACTAAAAAATCAGGCGTCGCGACTAGAAACTCGACCACGAATAATAACGACGCTAAACCGTCGCGGGACACGCGGAAATCTTTGAAACAGACGCCCGCTGCGAAAACGCCGATCGTGGCGGCGCACAAGGGCGTGCCCGTTCCAGACGAATTGAAGAAACACGTCGCCAAACAACATTTGAAGAACAAAACAGTTTCGATTTCGGGATAATTAATGCGGAGACATTTTTTCGATGTAATAATATAGTTTAAGGAGTAGGGGAATCGCTAGTTATTTAGATGACATCACGCGGACAAACTCACAATACGGTAACAGAAGGACCACTTGTATCATAGAAATATATTTACAAACGCGTCGAGTTTATGGTGCCTACGTGAAATTTCAAATATTTTTATTGTGAGTCGAGCGATGGTCTTGTCTACGTGTACATTTGCGAATTAAGATTTATAATATTATAGTTATATTTTGTCAATTTGTTTTAGAATAAGTACGATGTATGAGAGTTGATATTTATATTGTTATTTTTAGGATTTTTTGAGTTCATTATCCACAGGTGCAGTGCAATTAAATTTGGAAATTGCAGTTTATGTTTACGGCTGTCCATGAAATGTTTAACACTCGTTCGAAAGGTTTTGAGACCAAGAGCTTTACTACGAGAAAAGGGAAGATTTTTCAATTAGATTGAAGTGAAATCTCTTATTATAATACGTTAAAGTCGTTCAAAGGTTTTCTACAAGTGGTTGCGTAATTCATGTAGTCAATAAGAATTAAATAATGCAAATACAATAAGAAATGAAGGTAATTGTGGTGTTTTTGAAAGAAATATATATTTTGATATTTGAAATGTAATGAGAATTGTGATAAATGATCACGAATAGTGATCTCATACAAAAGTTAAATTTATCAAAATTTTTGCAACTACATTGGACAGCGCGTAGACATCGACATCGTTGTAAACCGTGTGTTGGAAAAAGCGAATCGAATTGGACATTTTTAATACAATAATGAAGGTCACACATTTTAAAATCAGATTTAGAGACATATCTATGACTGTTTTACTGTAAGAAAGAAATCAAATATATTACAATAAAATAAATGAATTTTCAAGAGCTTATAGACATTGTTTTAAATATTATTTTATAATGTGGAATTGTAATTTGCTGTAGTGAATGTAAGAGCTTCCGTTTGTATCAATTTATGTTTCCGTAATGTTGGTAGTGTATGATTGACCATCGTAAAATAAGCGTTAGTTTTATTCGACACCGGATTTATCTGATCGGTGTTTGTAATATTAAGATCCAACTCAATTTTGATGAAATTTATTATATATTGGGAATAAACAACAGACCAAAAATTTCAATTTTTGAGGCGATAATTTCTAGACTAACGATACATTTTTCTGCAATCTCAAATAGTAAGAAATAGATGAATGTGGTGCATATTTAGTTTGACCGATGTAATTTTGAGTTTTTAGCAAACTAGGACCAAATCGTTTAATTCTGTTTGTAATAGTAATTATAATAAAGTTGTTTTTAATTTTAATTGATGTTTATTGTACTGTGACTAACACCGTAACTTGTAAGTAATATGTAGATCGGTCTCGTGAGATTTATGTTCTAGGAGCATTTAACATGAAATTTTATATATTATGTAGGTAGAAGATTCATTATTTTTCATATGATGATGCAATTTTCTTTAATGGGTTAAAAATAAATTGTCTAAAACACAACTGTTTTTATTTAAATCCTTTTAAAATCCTTACCTCGTTCATTCATTATCTTCGAAAAAACAGAAATAAATGCAGGTATTTCGACAGTGGAAACTGAGGTACAAATGACGGTTCGCCTCTTCTTTTTCTAACTCAGTAAACACGCACTAAGTTCCGACTGCTTGGAAAGTAAAGAAAACTACACGTTTTGATAATATTAAATTAAATTTATTAATAAATATAGGAATAGCAATAAATCGTAAGATTATTTTATATTTAAAGTAAGATTAAATTATCCTCTTTCACATATAATATCGACAATACTGGGCTCCATGAGTTGCGGGTCGACACATCTCAGCTGCGCGGATGCCAACGCGTCTTCCAGCAGTGCATTCAGCAATCTCTCATCGTTTCCCATACACGACAACCTCTGCTGCAGGAAATGCACGTCAACTTGCAACTGTTGTAAACCATGCCTACTAAATGTACGCAACCTTACGCACTCGACCAGCGCTTTAAGCGCTACCTTCAACGCCCCGTTAGATAACGCACCACGGTCAGCGCCAGCCGGACTGAACACTTCAATACGCTCGGAAAATATTCTATTAATAGGAGAAAATGACGATGGTGCTCGTGACCAAATTGTACGCCTACTGGAGTCACTAGATGGCTTCACACTAGTAGGGAATAGTTGCGAAGCAGCGGAATCCGCACTCGCCAGTGTTTCCACTACTCTACGGCAAACTGCTCTTGGTCCTCTAGGTTCCGGAGCTCTTAACCAATCCCTAGCAAGCACGGATACACGCAACATCTGTGCCGCTGTTTGTCCAATAAAAACAACTTCTGAATCCAATGCAGATTGTGCTGCTGTGGATAAATTCACCATCACACTGTTTTTATCCTTATTTTCTATAGTCAATCCCGGTGCAGCTTCCTCTAGAAGTTTTATGAGATGATTATGTAGAGTACTGACTCCATTTTCTTGTAATTCCAAACATAATTTGGCAAGAATTAGAAGAAGCTCAAAGGGTATATTGTTGGATGTTTTCAAACAGGCCATCTTCTTTACCATATCTGATAGATTTATTAGAGTTTCTGAAATCACTGTCCAACAACTGTTGGCTACAGCTTTAGCACACCACGGCTTTAGTCCAAATGACAGGTTGTTTTGTAAAAACGCCATTAAGTCTAACAGCGATGCTTGAATTTTTTGCATCAAATATACTTGCAGTGAGTTTAAAATATCCTTCAGATCTACAGTTTCTGTGCCTTTACTTGCTAATGTCTGCCGCACTCTCATCAAACTATCTTTGAACTGACTTTGAATCAATTGATACTGCATTACAGCTTTATGATTTATACATTGTATGACAACATCAAGAGCTTTTTGTGAAACTACATCACTGGAAATTATTTCAGACATGGCCTGCAACTTCCTGAAGAATTTATCTAAACCTCTAATCAATATTTCTGTGCCAATATTTTCAGGTCTTTTCACAACTTCCTCAAATAAATGAAAGACTTGAGACATAACTTTTTCAGCAAATTCAGGGAGATTATTTGCTTCTTGATCTTGGAACATTTCATGATAACATGATATAACAATACCTAAATCAGCTAATAAGGTATTATTGCATTTTTCAACCCATTCTAATATGTCAGTGTGTTCCAACATTGCATTTAAACTTTTTAAATGTTGATCTAATCTACTCTCTGCGCAACTAAGAAAAATATCTTTTAACGAGGAATCTGTTTCCTGCAACTGTCTTAGAAGTCCAACACTCTCTGCTAGTTCAGATGCTGATGTTTCCGAATTAAGTAGCCTATCTCTCAGTGTCTTTTTTAAGCCATAAATAATTTCGGAACACTCTGACTGGATACTCTGGAATGATGGCTGGTTACCATACTTTTGTAACACCCTTTGAGCGTGTGCGTAATCATGTACTGCATCAGCGTACCTGTTTTCTATTATAGCTTTATTAAGTTGTGATGGCAACAAAAATAAAAATTGAAGTTTATCAAGTAACTGTCTTGTAGAACACAAACGATTTACATTTGTACCACTCTCTTTTAAAGACTCAGATATTTGAGAGCTGAATGTTGTTATTTTGTTTATATTATTGCTAAGCTTATTCATCTCTTCTTGCATAATTTGGAAGTCAGTACGCATTTTACGCACAGTTTCAGTGGCAGATATGAACTTATTATAATTTTCGTACACCAAAGTTTGCATTTCTGATTGTAGAAATTGACTCTGCTTTACGATTTCGGCTTCTTTATCCATAACTTGTTTTAAAGTAGCAAGTTTCATTAAACATTCCAAATACATTTCCGAATTAAAATTACTACCATCTATGTCTAGCGGGTTTTCAGCATTTTCTTTGTTAGCTTCCGCCATTTTTAAGAAATTTACACTTAACTTTTACAGTAGTAAAATCTTAAATTCCTAAATAATGATTAATTTGTTTCTTTAATTGAATTTAATGTGGAAATTAGAATATTTATTTGCTTTATTTTGACAAATCTGATTTGACAATAAATTGACAGACAGATGACATTTTTTTTGTCACGAAGCACGGAGACAAAGACGTATGTAACATACATCCAAAACACGTGGAAAACTATAAACCTTTGTGTGACAAAACGCTTTTATTTTTCTGGTAATTTAAAATATCAGTTCCTAATTTTGCTTAATGTAATTTAAAAAAAACTTTTACTCAACTTCGTAAAAAAAAAACACAAGTTAGACACAGAAATATTCAATTTTATTTCATTCTTCATATAATTTTCATAAATACACAATATACAGTTAGAATTATGCAAAGAATGTTTACGTTCGAAATATAGCAAAAAAATTGCGAAACATAATAATGTTTGTACATTATCAATAATATGCAAGTTATACTTAAACTAAAAATAATTACAGTACATATGAAAATGTAAAATCTATGTGTGCCATGCGTGTAAATATAATTCATAAAAAAAAATCAGCTAAAAATATATCTTAAGAGCAACCAAGATGAGAGAGCGAATTATACTATATATTTAACATGTAAAATATATTAAATTTGATCTTTATACGTATTGCACTTAAAACTAATTAAACAGACGAAAGTAATACAAAATATCATAGTATTGGTTCGACCATAGACAATTTCACAGCACTATAACTCAATGGTAATAACTATAGAGCATAATTTTGCGTCGTAGTCACTCTGTCCTTAATCGCAATGGGTCCAAGAAGGGAAGGTCTGAGGGCTGCTGGCACTCTACCTGGTGGAAGACCTTGAGAGGGACCTCCTTGACCTTTCTGGGCTGTCGGAGCTGGCGAGGGCGCTGCGGCTGCACCCTCACGGGCACTATCTGATGCTGGCCCACAGCATCGGGGGACTGGTTCTCCGCGGCTTCCAGTGCCGTCTCCACGTCTATTAGGTCGTGGTTCCGGCACTGCAGTAGAGCTGCCAACTGTCAAACATATCAAATGTTAAGTTTAAAAACTGTCACACCTAATAGCTACATTCAGACTGTAAGCGATTATAAAATGGAATAGGCGTTAAAAACTACTGCATTTTGAGGACTACATAAATAAGAAGTGAATCCTTAACACAATCGCCTCGTTAAACAAAAAGAGTTAATATTCCTACGAGATGTCGTAAGAGATGTAACACTTTTTGGTATGGGATGAAATGTGGATGTGTTTTAGTTATGTGTTGACCTGTAGTATCTGCCTGAGGGGCAGTGCGGCGGCGGGCGGGGCGCGGGGTAACGCGGCGGCGAGTGCGGCGGCGGCGGGCGGCAGGCGCGCGCGCAGCAGAGCCAGCGCCGCCAGCGACCGCGCCACGTCACCGCCCTCCGCCACGCCCTCCGACCCCTCCGAGCTCGACTCCGCCCCCACACCTCCCGCGTACTCCAGCCGCTCGTAGCGACCACGCTCCCACGACGACCTTAATATCCACAAAGATCACATGGTTAAAAAAATTGCCGTATACGGAATCATTAACTGGAGGCAAAGGCAGTCAATTTTACTGATATTTTAAATGCAAATGTTTGGCTGCATGTACGGATGACCGTTAAAAGTTATCTCAAGAACGGCTGCATCGATCTTGGTGGAATTTGGTATAGATGTAGAACATGGTATGGAAGAAGACATAAGGCAGTGAATATACTTACACGTATGTGTGCGATGTGTGCGAGGTGTGCGGTGTGGTGGGCGGGGAGGGCGGTTGCGGGGGCGTGGCGGGTCGCGGCAGATGTGGGCGGCGCAGATGCAGCGCGAGCGCGCACACGTACGCTACCGGCGCACGCGCAGGTCGCATCAGCGCTGACAGCGCCGCACCACTCTCCGCCTCCATCACTGATAATAAAACAAACATCATTAAAAACATACATCGTTAAAACTAAAAATGCGAAATTAGTTAAATATAATTCAATGGAAATCAATAGGCTAGTATATGTATTAAAATATACTTACGCGAGGGCTTCATAGAGATGAGCAAGGCGACAATGATGTAGTGCAGGTTGGGCAGCACAGGTCCGTCTGCGAAGATGAAGCCCCATAGGTGCGGGATCTCGCAGCGCGGGAACTCTCGCCCGAACAGCAGCCGCAGCCACCGACTGCACATATATCTCTCTATACTTTCACACGCCACATTTTTTTTAAATTATCTCTGCACATCTATAAATAACTTGGCTTAAAGGCCTCGTAACCGGGTCAAAGAAATTCCAAAAAAATGTTTACTACTATACCATAGTAGGTCTTATTATGTTGATTTTGTTACATAGTAAAAAAATAATTTTATCACTTTTGCACGCGATTTTACCATGAGGAAATTAAAAAAAAATGATAAAATTTTCCACCAATTTTCAGCCAAATCGGTTTAGACGTTCTTGATTACAGTTAAAAAGAGTATAAGTAATAAGATTTTGTAGATTCAACACATTCAGTGCCTCTCGCCAGGCATTCAAATTTAACAAAAAAAAATCGCAGTAGCATGAAAAGTGTTAAACGACGATATTTAAATCGTAATATTTTCATTAAAAATGCATTTATTAGGAGATTATTACAGAATACTGACATTCCAAATAGTTCCATTGATATATTGCATTTGGCCAAATGTGTGGCCAACTCATTGTCTAATGGCGCTAAGTACTCATCCTTCACTCTCTCCAGATATCGCACCACTTCATTTTGACTCTGTAATACAAAACAACATTAATTATTTAATAAAATAAAATGTCATGTTTTATTTAAAACTGTCCTGTTTAAAAAAAAAAAACTTATTTAGTAGCCCATGCGTTCTTCCAGATTATGTTCTACATCTGTGCCAAATTTCAACGAGATCCATGCAGTAGTTCCAGAGAAAACTTCTAACAAATATGTATCCATCCATCCAAAAACTTGCATTTATAATAATAGTAAAAAGTAAGAAAATACCGAGTTTCAATTTTGTTATTTCTTTTAATGTAAGTAAAAATAAAAAAAACTGAACAAAACAACAAAAAAATTGTCTTTTGTCTGCCCGTCAAAAATTGTCTTATTCATATTGTAAAGTCTGTATTTGTAATTTAAGTTTATATTTATCTGAATATAATAACTTAGGTAATAAGTAATGGATAAGTTACATGTACAGATGTGGAGGTGGGCAGTCTGCCGCTGGAGCTGGGCACCACATCTCCCGTTGTGTAGAACCTCTCCACACCTTTCATTACTGCGTTGAACAACATGCTGCAACAAACATCTTTAACAATATACAGGAAAATAAAAAAAATAAAAAATCTTTTTTTTATATATTTCAATCTCTGTTTGATTTAATATTATTAAATTTCATTTTAAATTTATTGATAACATCATCAACAGTTATAATAAAATATTAAAAATAGACAAAATGAGAAAAAAATCTTACGGATAAAGGATATTTTATGTACTTTCATTATTTACATTGTAAAAATGTAGATTAAAAATTAAAAACAATAAAAATACATACTGACTATCATGTTCCAAATATTCCTTGTCTAAATAACATTTGAGTGTATCACTGGAAAAGAAAATCTTATTAAAACAATGAATCAATTCTCTCTTATTGAAAAAAAAAACACAATTTAATTATTTTAAAATCATCATCAATAGCCTAATGGTTAAAGGTACGGCATTCGACTATTGTCGTAAACATCCTGGCACAAACATAGAGAAATATAAGTAAATTAATTTAATTACCTGATATCATCTGGTGCGTATTTCCTATCTCCGTGTAACTCAAATAGTAAGGGGGCCAGTATTTCATGCATACCTTGTCTGTATCCCACCGAGTGAGATCTGGCCCAGAAAAATAGAACACGCACCTACAAATATGTTTATTTTAAAAATAAAAGAATTAAACGACTTTGATGAAAATCCACTAAACTCTATAAATGGACAGTATTTATATTTCTAATTAAAAAAAATAAATTATTATGATCTTATCATCATTAGCTCACACAGTCTCCATTGAGGGGTTCGGTGCCTACCCAAGTTAGAGGCCAACATTTTATCATACGGAACAATAGCTGTCGCCCGCGACTCTGTCCATTGGCGATAAAAAAAAACATAATTAGTAGCCTATGTGTTCTTCCAGGCTATTTCTATATGTATGCCAGATATATGGAGATACCTACAAACAAATATCCATCCATCTATTCGCATTCATAATATTAGTAAGATAAAATAGGTTGAAAGGAAAATCTGTAGATTTTTTTTATAGGTTTTTAAACAGTGGAAACCCACAGTAATATACTTTTAGTCCACGTCAATATACAATGTATCCTTACCATTAAATCCTGAACATCTTTATCTCTAAAGTATACTTCTTCTGGATAAGTTCGAACAACATCCTGTAATATAAGAGCCTTCAGCTCATTATCACAGAAGTGTTGTTTCCATGCACTCTGAAAAAAAAATATAGAATTTATAAACAATAGTATGGCCATAAACAGTCTTAGAGAGTCCAAAGAACCGGGATATTTTTCTCCCTAATAGAGGTTTTTCTACACCCAGTTTCTCACTTAAGGTCTTGACCGGAGAATGAATCTTGCTTATACAGTTTATTGCTTATCCAGGTTCGATATTATATATTACAGTAATAAATTAATTTAACTAACATAACACATTCATCGCTACTGATTGTCAACATTTCATTTTGCAAGTTGGAATTGTAGTAGTATTGAATGTGTTTATAATAATATTTGCAAGTCTATCCTGTAAACTTACCTCATCATTCTGTGAGAGTGGATCATCGTCTATGACGGCGCGCGGGTCCATAGACAACTTATCTCTTAGGTCAATATAAAAGTTCCTATGTGCTTTAATACTGTAAAAAATATAACATTTGGCTTACATTTCAGTATTTCTTACTAATATTATAAATGCGAATGTTTAGATGGATGGATGTTTGATGGTATCTCCAGCACAGCTGTATGGATCTCAAGGAAATTTGGCATAGATGTAGAACATAGTCTGAAAGAACATATATGCTACTCATTACGTTTTTTTTTATTCCGCCATGACGGAGTTGCGGGCGATAGCTACTAACATTATAAAAATAAACAATAGACTAATAGTCCTTGTCTTATTTCCTCTGCAACCATGACATCTCTACAAGAGAAAGTCACTAAGTGGAAAAAGGCACTTAAGAGTTTACTAATCCAATTGGAATTTAATAAGAAAAACTGTAACGAAGGTAAAAGTGATATGTTTCATAAACATCTAACTGATTTCAATGTAATATAACTAAATTTGTTCAACCAAGAATTAAAATATTTTTAAAAATATATTTATGTTTTCTTTTGAATTACAAGTAAAGTGGATACCTGGTTATAATATCACTAGAAGGTGAAGGAAGGGCCTTCAACATGATGGCCCAAGCTAAGCTCCTTGGCCTCACTAGCTGCAGCTGCATTGCGGCATTCTTCAAATATTCCATACTCCATGTTGCAAAATGTAAACTAGAAAAAAAAAACAACACAAGTCATAGATAACTCAGAGGGATAGAGAACTTCCATTTATGATTTTACTATTTTTTTTTTCATTTGAGGTGGACTTAAGAAAACCAGTACTTTCAAACCTTTCAACATATTTTTATATTTAGTAATTTATTCCTCCAATGTGTGTTTATTCCCTAGTTATTGTATTTTTATGTTAATGAGTAAAATAATTTTATTATACATAATATTAGTATTCACAGGGTCGACTCATTAATATGTAATGATTATTTGATTAATATTAAACAAATATATCTTATTTCCAATCCAGATAATAATAAACTACATTGATAGTAATTTGATATAATTTTTATTATTATACTATAAAAGTAACTGGCATACATTTATAATATTGAATTAACTATTTGATTATTTTTTAAATATTGTATATGCTTATTATATATTTCTTATAAATAAATCAATATAATTAAGGGTAAGTTAAAGTCTCACCCCTTAAATGAGAACTAATGCCTTTATTTAATATATTTTTGTCAGTGTTTTATAAAAAGTATTTTTGTTACATTCACAGAGAAAAGAGTATCAGATCCATGAATTCAATTTATACATCTCGTGTAAAACATGAAGTAAAAACTTTCTAAAAGCCGAAGTCTCGGAACCAATGACCTTACAAAGTAAAACCTACAACTTTTTATAGCAATCTCAATGTTATATTAAACTTATTCTTTTTTTTGTGATTAAAACTTTAGAATCCGTAATTAAAATAATAAGTAAAAGTTACTTGATTCATTGTTTGCTTAGTGATATTACGAGAAGAAATGAACAAAGAATGTCAATATTTATAATTTGATAACATTATGAATACTTACTCGTAATCTGTAGCTTCAACGTGATTATTTGGCGGCGAACCAGTTGAAAAATCGATGTTGTTTGACTCCTAAGTTAAACAAAAAAATAAAACTACATTTTGAATACTAATACTACATCAAATAATACGATAATACCATACCATATTGTATTAAATAAGCATAGCGCACTTTTGTAAATAAAACTTCAAATTATAAGTTTAATTGATTGAACGGTAATACTATTTAATAAATAGTATTGTTACATATATTAATAAAAAATAAATAAAGAAAAACAACCGTTTTAAACCAGTAAATGTTGACAATTTGACAAATATTATTGATATTGAATAAGTGTCAAATGTCAAATCGCACTGACAGCATAGATTACACAGTGTAAAATATACGAAAGATTGTGAAAAAGAATGCACCGTGCGCACAAAAACGTGAAAACGTCGACTTATTTTTAAACATTCCAACTTGATAGAATGAATTGTAATGTAATTTTATTTGTTAATTATTCGTTTTTTTTTTAATTTTATTTTATATCATAGATTTAAGACTTTATGTATTCATAGAAATAAGGATGTAAATTAATTAAACGTATAGTTCATATTTTATAAATACACATCTGTTATGTACACAGCTTTTCTAGTCCGAGTTAAGAGAGTGCGGGTTCACATTTCACATGATCATATGGCGCCAATATGGCGCCGTAAAAGACATTTGTGATCTGTGAGAAAGAAAAGCAACGAATGTTATCTGTGCACTGCGAATCTATCCATCTCTCGTTTTCATTAGTTTTGTTAAAGCCAGAATGCGTTAGTTGTTTGCATTTTTGTAAAATTTGACTATTAAACTTACGTTTGGTTCTGGTCTTTGTTTGACGTTCCTAGCAAACCATATGTTTTGTGGATACAATGTTTATGGTAACGATGTTCGCAACAACTTGTAATGTGATAACCGTTAGCGTGTTGCTGAGTGAAGCGAGATCACATCGGCTGACACCTCTGCGATGATAATATACGCCACTAGCCATGATCGCTAATCTACCGTTGCTTTTTGCAAACGGCAACCCAATAGCGGTATCAACAATATCAGCTTCACAGCTCGAGAAGTTCATAACGTTTATGGTAACATGTTCTTGGGGCCACGACACCGCCAAAGACATTCGCCAACCACCATGGTGGCCGGAAGATGTGGAATTTTCTCATCCCTTTGTAAAGCCAGAGCAAGTACCGCAGGATTGGGAGACACGTCTAAAGAACCTTGTAAGGCGATGTTACAATCATCACAAGAGCGCTTTTTTACTTGTGTTTTCTGCACATCTCGCGCGCTTACCGAGAAAACGGCTAAGGTTAGTTGACAATCGAGATCACACTACGTCTATGTACTACAGGCCAAGTGGACGGCTTCTAGTAACTTTTAGAAATGAGAATCTTTTTTATGACAGAGAAGAGTCAGTCGAAAAAGAGGAATCGCATGTCAAATCTGCTGACATATATCTGTGTGACAATTGTGATAGTCATTTTGACAATTTACATACATTACAAGCACATGAGAGGCTTTGCAATAATGAAATCCCCACTACTACATGTAATAGGGGCCTGGCAGAATTTATGTCTGCATTGAAACTGCAGTCAACAAAACAAATCGCCCATGGTGCTAGTTCAAATAATATCAACATAGATACAAAACCTAAGAATTCTCGATCAGCTGCCAATGTTGATAGAGGTCCTCCCTTCCCATTTTCCTCCTTAGCTTATATGAGGAATGCTAAAACTAATGTTCAGAGAGATTCCACTTATTCTAGAGAAAGAATTGAAAGATTTTGTTGTACAACGACTCCTTTGAATAAAAATGTAGTTAGCAAAAGTAGAAATCAATTCCCAATTAGGTATAGAAGGCCTATAGATTATTGGCACAGAACACACATATTTCCAAATCAAAGAAATAAGAAGTTACTGGATGTGAAAGGACAACTACTATATCTTAAGTGTAGACCTGTATCTGTGAAAGTTGAAAGAATGTCATTAAAGAGTATGACAGACTATATTGAAAAACTCAAGGAGGAATCTGAGAGTAAAATGTATGTAGTAGACAAAGATATAGTGTATGTTGATGGGTTCGACTCTGATCATGCAGCAGAAGCAGATGTGAGGAGTGCAGATCCATTAAAGAGACTTGATAATGATTGTGAAGTGATTGACTTGTGTTCGGATGATGAAGGACCTAGTGGAAATGAGAACTGTGATCCACGTGCTGGTATTACATGTGTAATGAGAGGTGGTGCTGTGCTGCGTCGGGCTGCGGCGACACCTAATGCCCTGCCAGCGGAGCCTTGCGGAGCACGCCAGCGCCCCCTCCCGGCAATCCAACACCTGCCTTCCGCTGTGCTGCAGCCACACCCTGTGATTCTAATCGCTCATACTTTGAACAATTTACAGACTATAACTTTAGAATGAATTTTATATTGTTTTACCAGGGATATTTTTTTATTTATTGCCATCAAGCTTTTGTCTAAAAAGATGTTAAGGTTGTCACATTGTTAAAAGGACCTCACCTTCTAAGTTCATTTGGGGCTAATATCTGCTGCAAACCAGATGGGCATTTCATTTTGATAACTAATTTATATCTGAATCACTCAATCAGCACAGCTTACACCGCGTCGACTACGAGGTGTGGAGGTACTGGGTTGGCAAGGTCCTTTTAATTGTGTGACAACCTTTAGTCATCAAAAAAGTTTTTGCTTTCGAGTTGGAAAAAGACCATACAGTTAAAACTCATATTTGAAGCTTTCTTTAATTTGTGATATTAATAGCTGACTCTTGTAGGTCAAGAAACAAAGCTTACAATATTTTAAATATATTGTTTTTCATTTATGAAACTGATTATGAATGTGTAGTTAATAATTATCTATTTTCAGTTTTGTTTACATTATTTATGTTAAACTTTGACATTTGTAAAAATCTTTGTCTATGGCTGTGTTCAATTCAAATTTATTGTCAGCAATTGGTTGTGAGCAATATAACTCATTGTTTTTAAAAGGTTTTTTTGACCATCTATACAATCCCTATGCTGTGTTATGCATAGTCACTAAACAAAAATGCAATATGGTTAAAACACACTGCAATTTTGTTTTACAATTAATAAAGTAAACAGCTGATAATATATTTCATGTGAACATGGCCTAATATGTAAGATGATGTCTATGGCTCCTGTACATTAAAACTAATTTGCAGTATTAAATTTCCAAATTTGAACAATTATACAAGCACTTATTTATTTTGTTTAACATACTGTACAATAGTTTAGCAGTTATTCCTTTATTTATACAAATGTGAAAAGGAGTTAATTCTTATTTATGCAACTCTTAACTTATGTAAAAAGATCAATAGTTAATTCTTGTAATAAAATCACAATATTTGTATACGTGACTCTTATTTTTTTAATATATGTAAAAACAGGTTTCGAAAACATCAATTCGTGTCCCTTAAAAAAGGATAAATGTTACCTTCGTCGTAAAATGGCGGCTATTGTCACCGAACTGACACAATAGCCGCCATTTTACTTTACGCCATTTTTTTATTTCTTTAGGTTTTAATATATTTTTTTAAAGATTTTATTCCACATGCCTTGTTTAATGGTAAGCTATTAAAATGTAATAACTTTCTGACGATTAATTACACCACATTGCATACCGTAATAAATAATTCCAAGATGGCCACGGATACAAAATGGCGAATGAATACGGCATCGTTTTACCCAATGCACTTGATATTCAAATCAAAGGAGGTGGACTTTGCTCTTTAAACTGCTATCTTGTTAATACGGATGATAGGCTTGTTATCTCTTACTGTGAGTTTTTGAGACCAAAATGTTGTCAAAGAGAAACAGGGATGTGGATGTTTTATACAGAAATTTTGGCTTCGAAAAACCATTGTTGGACAGACTTCGACTTAATAAGGGAACTTTGTCTGTAACTTTCATCCCCCTTTATCGTTAGATTGATGCACTGATTAATATGACAATAAAGGGGGATGTAGTCACAAGTTATATGAACTAGGGATAAATGCATACTTATTTGTGCATAGAAGGGTCATAACAAAACAAAAAGAAACGAATTACAATGTATAATTTTATAACAAGAAAACATAGATTTAAGGAAAATAACTATGGACTTTAAATATCTTCGTGGCTGACTCTGCGGTGCGAATTGAGCGGCCGTCGACTTTCCTCATCGGAACCATAGATTACTTCTTCGTCCGAGTCGTTGATCATTGAGAACGCCGGATTGTCTTTGGTTATGGCCGTTTCTGAAACATATAAAAATTCATTATTATGTTTTTATTAAACAGATGTTTGAGAAAGTAAAAAATAAATCTTACCGTGAATAGATCCAATGCCAGGCGAGAATAGATATGCTAATAGATACATTTTAAAGTTAAATAGGCCATAGAGGGCCATGAAAGGGGCGGACGTATCGTAGGTGACTTTGGGCTGTGATGCCCAGTGGTCCTGGAGCGCGGCGGGTCCCCATGACTGCAGTGCCAGCAATGTTGTTATAGTCGTCACAGTAGCGACTACTATGGACAAGCAGCGAAGCCTTATGTCTAGAAAATGTCAAACAACTCATCTTATTTCAATCAATTTGTCTTTTAAAAATAATCAATTTTTGATGTGAAACTTACCGAAAAACGGCATATTGCGTAAATCACTATACGCTTTGACGATAAGTACGAGCAAGTATAAGAAGTAAAGAATGATGGCACCGAAGAATACGAGCTTTATAACCTGTCAGAGACAAATAAGTTAAATAAGTTTGAAGGGCTAATCGTGGGTTTCCGAGGCCAAAATATCAGTTTACAACATCTATTTAGAGATTTCATATTCATTTATATTTATTTAGAGATTTTTATGTCAGAAACCCACGATAATGATAATGACAAGAATACTGGATGGATAATTTGAAGTTAACTGTTCAAGCGCTTACCGGGTAATTGGTGTTCACAGTGTAGTTAAAAGTTGGATCATAAAAAGCGTAATATTTTTGCCAGACGGTGATGATCATGACAGGCATCCATACGAGACCAACTATTATTAATTTGAACAAATAAAATGACAAGAAACCTCTTTCATTCTGAAAGGAGAATATGATCTTTTGTTAGTAAATCTTATTTTCTATCCATATATTAAATCTTATTTTCTATCTATATTATCTTCTATCAACAATTAATACAAATACAGTAATCTAAAATTTAAATTCACCTAATTAGTAAACAGTTAGTAAATATGGTCCTTCGAGTCGGATACTAAAACTTAACAGGTTTTTGGCTGTTGTATTGATATAACGGAATTGGGTAAATGGTATAAAGGATGTAAACAATACTCGGATAGTACTCACTTGTCTAAGCCCATGGTATAACGCTAGCCAAGAAAGGAGGACGCACGTGAGGAACATCGATTGGAAAACCGTATCGATAAACGGCGCGAAGCATCCTGCTGATACCAATCGTAACGGGAATAATGGATCTGTGGATAATTTATACATTTAAATTATTTTTATGACAATATAACAGGCATATTTGGAACAGAATCTTACCATTGTAAAGAAGAAGCAAAGGTAACAGTATTGAAAGCCACTTCTGTTCTATCGCCCAGTCTTGTGTGGAGTACTTCCTTAGTGAATGTGCAAACCAACACTGAAATATTTACAAGTTACTCTATTTATATTGATTTTAAATTTAACACTAAATTCAAAGCAGAAAATTCATTAACAATGTTATTAAACTTATTTTGTAGGATGAAAAAACTTTTCAAGTGTTTGTCTAATAACTTACCGCTACTGTAAATGTGGTCAGTAAAAAAATAAATCGAAACCACGTCTCCATTTGTGTAAAGGCTGGATTGTACGTTTTAAACTGTAAGATTGTTAAAAAATATAAAACAATTATTCTAGAAATATATAAAAACGAAATGATGGAAGTTTAGTTTTGGATTTTTTTTAATTTATACTCACGTAGAATACAATTTCTCGTATAAAGTAGCGCTTATGGAATTCCTGTAATCCATAGAATCGTATGTTGAGAACGTAATGCGTGAACTCCAATGCGCCCAGGTGTAGCACCATCACCTCTTCACATATCTGTTTCTTGCATTTAAGATGCTGTGTTCTACAAACATTTTTAATCTGTTAAAAATTTTGAAACTGACAACACTGTTACTAAAATAATAAAGCAAAGGCGCGAAATAAAGGGCTACAAATCTTTCTAAATGAAAAAAGAATGTTTACCAATCTAAAAAATACGATACATTTACCTATTCGTAGCATCAGATTCTGGCAGCAAATTAGTTGCGGAATGATCACTCAGTACTCCATCTATAGATATACTAATCTGAAAACTTTTGTCGAATATTTCCTCTGGAAATAAAACAGAACACTTAAGCGTTACTTCGCTACCAGTGAAATATATGGATGATTAATATTTTTACGGGCTTTTATGGTGAAGCTGTTCTAAGATAATCAAAATATCATGAGTTTACTAAAGCGAAATAGGTTAATTTGTTTTATTTCGCTAATATTACTTTGAACAAATCTTTTTGCATTAACCAGCTTAATTATCCAAAAAGATATATACTGGCTATCACGCTATTTCCTTTCTGCACTGACAGCGTGTTGAGTTTCAGGACATAGTAAGTAAATGTTCAAATAAAGGTCTGTCCTCACCGTCATTATTGTTGGTAAGGATCTCAGCGAACAGCCAGAGTTGCTGTGCGCGAGTGCCGAGCGCAGGAGTGCGCAGAGGGTACGGCCCGCGGAACATGTCGCTCGCGTTAGCCAGCACACTGCTGCCTGCTACTGACGTCATCGACGTCGGAGAAGGACCTACCGATAAGATAAATGTAACAGGAGTAGGCAAGGATTACAGATTTCTAGAATAAGCCAGGAACCGCTGGTTAGCGTAGCGAAGAATGTTTTCGTCTATTCTTGGGGCGTCAATAGAAAAAACTCCCTTTGATAAATCTTTAAGTTTAAATCTGAATAAAAAAGGAGGTTTTTGTTTCTTATCAATCCCTTTCTCTGCAAAATTTTGTAATTTAATATGTTTGGCGATGCCAATGTTTAAAAAGACAAATTCAGATACAATGAGAATGGTATCTTTTATAAATTTTACAAACCTGCAAGTCCTATGAAGACACCTAGGCCGAAGCAAGCAAAAAATGCTATAAAAACCATTACAAATTCCCCTTTGTGCATCGAATAAATCCTCATTGGTACGGACCTGTAACACAAATATATTTGCAATTTCATATAATTAAAAACAAAAATATTGATACTGTTAACACATATTTATATATTTAGTAATTTTTAGTTTACATAATAAATATCTAAGTTTGAACATTAACTTACCTCTCACAGCGATCATGATGATAAGCAGGAGCAATATATTTATTAAATTCACTAAATAAGTCACTGAATTGAGACAAAGTGTTCCGTATTTTGTAGTTCCATCCTGCAGTTGGAAGATGGTAGGAATATCCCACATTTGCTGTATCCATTGTCACCTTAAATCTACACTACAGATGAAAAACGCAAAACAACTAGAAATAGCTAAATAATAACAAAACGCAATGTACAAAACGTTACGAAAGAGCTTATATTATTTCCCCCACATGAATCTCTTGTTTACAAGCATATTATTGATTTTTAGTGAGATTGCCATATCCAATATTTGGCATTGAAATGACGTGGCACTATATTTATGTTTGTATGTATCATTACAATTTAAAAAGTTTATAATAATTGCTATATTTATTAGTGTACTTATGTAGAAAAATGTTTAAATATCATACAGAAGTAGACTTTACTTAAAGGTAATTAGAGTGAAAGTCTGTTGGCGAAAATATTGATTTTTTGGAAGCGCGAACTTATGAACTGCTATGCGCGAACCTATGTGCACTTTCTTATTTCTCGATTTAAATAAGCTACGTTGTTTTATTTAGCAAGAAAAGGTAATGCACAATTGATTTTATAGCTAAATGTCTAAAATCGGGATAAAAAATCAGTAAAAAAGCTAATCTCAAGCTGTTTCGTTTTGCGTCATAATACAAGGTAAATAAAACAATTGTTTTCACAGATCTTTTTATTTAAACACATTTTCACAGGATTGTTTGTAAATCAAATAGATAAATTTTAATAAAAATAATAAATGATCGGTTATTTTAAATTTTAAAACACAAAAGTCAAAATAAATTAGATATTTTCTTATCAATCATACAAATTATGAGAACTTTATTTTACCTCAATTATTATTATTTTGATGACTAATATTTAATTCCAAATCAGAAAATAGTCAAAAGAAATCAAAGATATTGAAATTTCCCATTTTTTTGACGTAATAACGTGTTAAAAATCGACGTAATGACATATTGTCACGTTCCGCCATAGCCGAGTGTAAAAGAGAGCAAGGAACAAAGGATAGAGAGGCACCATCGCCTATGCGGTTTTGTGACGTATTTATCTCTTTTAATTCTATTAAATTTACATATGTAATTTTTCATCAATATTTAATGACGTTATCAAGTAAAATTCTCCGTCAACTTTGTCGATTTCATCATCATCAGCTAACTATACGTCCCCACCGAGGGGCTCGGAGCCTACCCAAAGTTAAGGGTGATAAGGCCATAGACAACCATGCTGGCCAAGTGCAGGTTGGTTGACTTCACACATATCTTTGAATTGCTTCCTTCACCGTAAGAACGTCGGATAAATGTACATATGTTAATCGGAGATCGAAAAACACATTGGTACATGGCGGGATTGGAACCCAGGACCTGCAGATCGCAAGTCAAGTGTTTGACCACTGAGCCACCGACGCTCTTTGCGCTTTGTCGATTTACTGTATTGGAATTAAATAAGGTAAAGTTATCGTAAATAAATATAATTATTAAGTTAATTTGGTATCGAATATATTCTACTTATATATTATGTAGAAGAATAGAAGAAAAATATTTTTTCTAAATAAAATCTCTTAAGTACGTTTTATTATTTTGAACACACAGTAATATTGTGAATATTGTTTGTTTATAATCTAACATAAGATTTTATAATCTGTCAACAAAATGATTTATACGTAGATTAAAAAAATACATTTACAAATGGAAGCAATATTTTACATGTTAATTAAAGAAAAAAAAAGTTTCTTGGATATTTTAGACAAGATAAATTTAAATAGGTTTGTTAAGTTTATAAAATCGCTAGTTTACAAACAAACAATATTAACATTTGTACATAATAGAAAAAATATGTTTCTCTTATAGATTAAATAGACAAAAAAGCATTTGGCTGACAGTAAATGTTGCCATTGCAAAAAATATTTTTTGGTAATAATTATATTATTCTATCAGGTTCCAAACACACTATCTCACTTACAAATAAATGCAATAAATAAAAAGCATGTGAACCTGATTTTGACAGCTTTCACTTTTAACATCTATGGTAACACTGGACAGGCCACAGACTATTTGCACATTTAGTTTTTCAAGTAACGGTTCTGATATTCCACACGTTGGGATATTGCAATGACCACAGATAAAATAAGCTATTCATGATTAATTTACATATTGTATAGTTGAATTCAATGGAAATGAGAAATTATATTTACACGTCACTGGCTGATGTCATTTATTATCTATGGATTTTGTTTAAAAAGTTTGTTTTAATTGTTTTTTTTAATTATAAAGGTAAGTATTAAAATAGGTTTGTTATAATTTCTTATTCCATTGAACTCCACTTTATATTTATAATAAAAAAATATTATAATACACTTTACAGCGAACTTTACTTCAATAAAATGTTATTTTTGACTACTTCAGAACATGTTATGTACTATTATAATTTATTATGCTTAATTTAAATAGCTTTAAACAAATACGATTACAATTTTATTTTTTAAATAAAACAAATGGTCATTTATATAAATTACAATAATTATACAACAATTATACTCAAATAACTAGATGAATGACAACTTAAGCTAAGAAGGAACATTATATGGTAACACTTACAATCTACTGTGGACTAGTTGTGTTGGCAACACTGTCAACACTGTCAGCAGTGTCAGCTCTGTCAGTTGGCGGCACTGTGGCGTTGTGCGCGCTGTCGGCGGGAATATTCAATGTGATGTTTTGTGTGAGCAGAGTTTGTGTTGTGGTGTCTACTGACTCCTGCATTGTAGCGTTCACTGAAAAATATTATTTATATATTGTTATTTTGTCATTCAAATTGGTAAAAAATCAGTTTAATTTATAAAGCTAAAATTCATATGAAGAATTTTCATTTAGTAGCTAGCGCGACTCGCGTAGCCTATGTGTTTTTCTAGACTAATCTATCTTCTAGACTAAGAAATCTCACTAATATTATAAATGCGAATGTTTAGATGGATGGATGTTTGTTTAAAGGTATCTCCAGAACATCTGCATGGATCTCGATAAGAATTTGCATAGATGTAGAACATACCGTGAATGAAAACATAGCCTACTAATTAAGTTCTTTTTTTTAAAATTCCGTATAGACGGAGTTGCGAAAATCACTTGCTTGGATTGATCCCAAATTACTTCCAAATTCACTATAGTTGTCGTGGACAATATTTGTGTCGTGTTTCGTATAATCAATGAATTACCATTTATAGGAAATAACGGAACCATAATGGATCACTTTGTTGTCCGTCTGTCTTTCAAGACCTTTATCAGGAACGCGTGAAGGTATCAAGCTGGAATATGGTATGAGATGCGTGAGATGCGTGTGATGGTGTGAGTACCAGTGACGTAGTGGTGGAACCAGGAGTTGATGTGAGCAGCATGTCGCTGCAGCCAGTGTATACGCAGCGCCGCGCTGTCCACTATCTTCTGCAGCGTCTGCGACATCGGCATCAGCTTCTCCTTGTGCTCGTGCGCGAACTTTTTCAACTAAACATGAAAATTAACTATTAATATTGTGCAGAGCTAATTTTTGCCATATTTCCTTTTTCGTGTTTTTCTTATAAAGGATGGAAGGGCAAGTGGATTTAACGGAAGAGGGGACTCATAAGAAGGGGAAATATTCTCATTCTCTGCCTTTTCTGTTTCGTCGATTATATTATAGTTAGGCAACGCATCTATAATTGCGGATGTCTATGGGTGATGGAATCTTCGCTATTCTGGCGAATCCAAGTGATTGCTCGTCTGCCACCTAATAAGATCTTCGTATTAATATAAATGCGAAATTTATGATTGCTGGATGTAAGTTTGTTAGAAGGTATCTCCAGAACGACTGCATGTTTGCGAATTTGGCATAGACATAGAAAATATTCTGGAAGAACAATTAGGTTACTAATTAAGTTATTTTTTAATCTGTGTGTACGGTTAAGTATGTCTGACCTTTTTTTTTTTAAGTATGTCTGACCTTGTTAAGTTCTTCAGTGGTAGTAATGAATCCGAAAGCTCCTCCGACGACGGCGGGGAACATGAAGGCGTCCATCTGAGAGAACTTGTCGTAGACGCGATGAAAGTTGTGTATGAGGAAGTCCTGCGCCAGGCGCGTGCCGAGCGGCGGCTCCACGCTCCACGCCGCCACCGCGTACTGCTTCGGGATCTCCGTCAGGCTCTTCTCTAGTAACCTGCAATATTAAATATACCAGCTGTAAACACCGATCGCCACCACCATCCGCTCGGAAAAAAAACTTAATCGGTACCCTATGTTTTCTTCCAGACTATGTACTATACGAATATTAAATTTCAGGAAGGTCAATACAGTAGTCCTGGAAATACTTTCAAACAAACATCCATCCATCCAAACATTTGCATTTATAATATTAGTAAGATGCCAATATAATATAAGGTATAGTAGTTTTCAGATATCCTAGCGGCTATTAAGTTCACGCGAGTCGCGGCGGCAGCGGAATGTGTAGCGCGCACATGACCTTGAGCCGTCAAGTTATTTGAAATGAACTATACTTTACGTATGTCAGGAAAAAAGTATTCTTCTGACTGACAACTCAAACAATGGATATAATAATTTGCAACAGTTCAATCGAGTTCATTTTTTTTATTTTCTATTGATTTCTTACGAAATATTAATAAGAGAAGTTTCTTACGATATCGAGTGATTTAGTTAATATTGAGTTAAATTTGTTAGCATTTTTTCATGAAATTAAGCTTTAAATTTACCCTAATTGAGTAAATTAGTAAGGTACGTCTATAGTTACTATGAGATGAGAAATAAAAAAGTTACATAGATATAAGTGACTCGTCGCGAGTGCTGGGCAACACGTTGATGGCCTGACTCCTGACGCCAGGGTCTGTGGAGTTGAGGAACAGGTTCCAGAAGAAGTCGAACTCGCGTCGTCCGCCGTGCTTCACCGCCATATTGTAAACCAACGAACGCAAGTAGTTTGGTATACTGGAAAAGATATACAACATTTTTTTTCTTGTTCATATTATAAGGTGGCAAACGAGCATATAATCTGGATTCGCTGAAATGGCGAAACGACTGCTCTCCACAGAAAACCGCAATTGCAGATGCCTTCATTTAATCTTCAAAAGAAAAGACGCACAGAAAGAGAATTTTTCCTCTTCCTATGCGTCCCCTCCTCTATCAAATCCACTTCGCATCATTTCCTTATAAGAAAAAATGTAAAAAGAGAAAGAAGCCTGAAATTTTGTCTCTGATGCACACTGATTAGACTGAAGGCGGAGTTGGTTCCTCTTAAGGCTTGTGTTCTGTGTGGTCGTGGTATATCACCGGATGAGACCCAATGCAGATGATGCAGATAATGCAGAAGATGCTGGGATCTCCCAGTTAACAATACTTACGGGTTATTAGTGAGGTCAGGTTGTGAGGACCAGTTGTAGAACTGTTCTCGTGCCCAGTCGAGACAGCGCGGGGACTCGACGAGGCACTCCCACATCACCAGATTCTCTATGAGGAACGCCTCGTTGTCGTCCTTGGGCGTGTTCAGACCGTAGTTCAGACGTTCCAGTTGTTTCTTCAGTATTATCTTCATATAGTCCTGCATTCATTATTAACGTTATTTTATAAACTCTTATTAATGCTTTAATGTAATAGCGCCATCTATTGTATGCATTTTAAAACTGAGTTTTTAATTTAAACCAAAATTGTAATCCTTATATAAAAAATGCGAATGTTTAGATGGATGTTTTTTTGAATGTATCTCCGGAACAGATCTCGATAAAATTTGGTTCGGATGTAAAATAGTCTGGAAGTGTAGGCTACTTATTAAGTTTTTTTTTATATCGAGCGAAGCGGGCGACAACTAGTAATATTATAAATGCGAAACTTTATATGGATGTTTGTTTGTAGGTATCTCCAGAACGAGTGAACTGATCTCGATGAAATTTGGCATACATATAGAAGATAGTCTGGAAGTACACATAAACTACTAATTAAGTTTTTTTTAGTTACACATAAAGCTTTGTTACCTGGAAGTAGACATATCCTGATGTAGCTCTTAGACTATGTTTCAAGAAGTACATGTTGCTGAGCAGAAGATCCCACACAATCTTGGAATCTTCTCCATTGATGACACAAGTAGTAAGACCCAGAGCATAGCTGTACTCGAGCTGGTCAGCTTTGGCGAAGTTAAAAGCGTCATCTATCAACTGAGCCTTTGTCAAAGGACTACTGAATGCATCTGATTTGAGTGCGTGGTTCAGTAGTTCCCAGTTCCTCTTGTCGTAGTTCACACGATAGTAACCTGTTAAATGTATGGAAATTGATAAATCTTACTAATATTATAAATGCGAACGTTTACATGGATGGATGGATGTTTGAAGGTCGACTGACCCATCCGGCTGAAATTTGGCATAGACGTAGAACATAGTCTGGAAGGACTAAGGCTACTATAGTGTTTTTTTTATTCCGCGTGCACGGAGTCGAGGAAAAAAATATTTAATACACCTGATGTTGGGTTGCCTAAAACAAAAAATCTTTTTTAGGGTTCCTAGAAAGGAAAATATAGGAACTCTTATAGGATCACTTTCTTGCCCATCCGTCTGTCCGTCTATGAAGATCATTTTGTATGTTACATACAGACATTACAATTTTATTAATAACAAAAACTGAAAGCTTTAAGTAGGTGGCGCTAACGTCAAGAGCGGGCTGTCATCTGTCAAACATTTTATACGCCATTCTAGCGATTAAAAGAAATGTAATTCTTTGTGTATTTTTTTGCTATAAATAATTAATGAACTATCATATAAAAACTTACTTACTTATATTTTAGTTTGAGTGAAATTTGACAGAAATCTTTGCTATGAATACCATCCACAGCAGTAATTATGCTAAAGTCACTCTAGTAGCAAAGGAGAAAGAAGCAGTTTTTTACCTATCGTATGGGTGTCATTTAATTTCGAATAAATAGTAAAATACTAACCGATAGCATCGATATTGACGTACAAAGCTTCCGTGTGATTTATCTGCAGGTCAGTGGTGGCACTTCTGTCAGTCAGCCACAGCCGGGGCCGAGTGGTCCAGTTGGCACGTGGCACATCCATAGTGGCATAACTGAGTGGTATATGCCACACCTGATCTGTCATCTCCTTGTAAGGTTCACCGCTACTTGTGAACAGTTTCTGAATTAAGAAATTTAGCTTAACTTTAGTATTATTATAGATGCAATTTCTAAGAAAAAGTGTGGGAAGGGAAAGAGGACTAAATTAGTCCTCCGGGACGCACACTCATCAGCCTGTACTTGGAATAGCTTCCACTTGAGGCGTGTCTTCTTTGTGGTCGTGGTATATCACCGGGCGAGCCGGGACAATTCGGGCGAAGTTGTTAAAACGGGCTCTTCCACTGTTAAAATTAATGTTTTTGTAGTTTGACCTTGAGACGCGCTGCGCTGTGGGGAGACAACATTCCTGTTTACGCAGCGACTCGTAAGATGTTCCGAGTGTACATGTTTGAAACTATAAAACTACAAAACTACCACTAACCTGAGAGAAAGTGACTTTTCCCGTGTTATAATCTCTGTCCACATTAACAACAGGGTAGCCGGCCTGTCGCGTCCACGAGTTCATGAAATCGACAACTGACAGATGTTGGAACATCGAATGATTCTTTATTACTTCCGACATCGCTGCCCATAAGTCATTTTCAACTGCATTTGAATATTTCCTGAAAATATTTTAATCTTACTAATATTATAAATACGAATATATATGGATGGATGGATGTTTGTTAGAAGTTATCTCCAGAACGGTTGCATGGATCTTGCTAAAATTTGGAATAAACGTAGTACATAGTCTGGAAGATTTTGACTAATTTTGTTTTTTTTTAATTCCGTGTGTCTGTCGCGGGCAACAGATGTTTGCATTTTGAGTTATCTATCTGGATCTATAAGGATTATACACGGACAGTATTTAGAAGTATTTTCTATATATATATTTTACATTTTTCGATACACTAGAGAGAGGGGGTATCCCCTTGACGACGTCTATGTAGTTTCGGAGTCAGATCCTACGTCTTTGACGGTTGTAAGTATTGTTGTGTTAAAAAACTAAAAACTAGGTATTTTTTTTAATTGTGTTTTTTGGAAATTATACTTAAGTACGAATTACTAATAAAATAATGAAATATGAATAATATTTTTCGATCTTACCGATAGAAAAAGTTAAATTTATGTTTAAGTTGATTATAGATAAAACACGAATATAATGACATTTTCTAAAAATGAAACCTCCTATATATTAAATTTTATGAAAATCGTTGGAGCCGATTCCGAGATTCCGATTATATATATATATATACAAGAATTGCTCATTTAAAGATATAAGATAAAATATCTTACCAATTATTCAAATAAGTTTCTAATCCTTTATGGAACAGTTCCTCAGTAATCGTATTGTTTAACATTCGAATTAAATTTGCGCCTTTCATATACGATATTTCATCAAACTTCTGCGATATTTCCGAAGCATCAACCACTTTGCGGGACACAGGCGATGTGTTCTTCAAAGCGTCGGATTTTAATAAATTCATCTTGTCTTGAGTTAGTGATTCAAACATTTTCCATTCCGGTTCAATCTGTTTACAACAAATTAAATTACAGCAGCCATTGCAAGAAACTACTTAAAAGCGTCAATAGCCTAATGGTTAAGGGTACGGATTTCCGATCACGAGGTCGCGGGTTCGAATGCTGACATTCGACTATTGTGGTAAAACATATCCTAGCATAATCTTAGAGCTTATTTTGGAATGGTAAAAGAAATATTAGTAAATTTACACAAAAATCTGCTATTTTCATTAAAAAAAAAAACTGCGAAAAATGTTAATACACATAAATTAAAGCATATTTATTCTCATTTTTAGGGTTCCGTAGCACAAAAAAAACCTAACTCCGTTCGCGATATATTAAAAAAAAAATTGTTAGTAGACCTTGTGTTATACCAGGATATGTCCAACGTCTATGACAAATTTTAGCCAGATCCATATAACAGTTCCGGAGATATCTTCAAACAAACATCCATCTATCTTAACCAGTGGTTCCCAAACTTATTTTGACTACTGCCCACTTTGAGAATAAATATTTCTTAGCGCCCCCATATTTTCACATATTTAAAAACCACTATAACTTCAAATTAAATTAATTAATTATTGTGACCTAAATATGTATATTAATAGAGAATTCTAAACGAAACTTTTACTATAACCCGCAACTAGAGACCTGCAGCGCCCACAATGGGGCGTTTACGCCCACTTTGGGAAAGACTGATCTAAACATTCGCATTTATAATATTAGTAAGAAATAAGATAATAGTATATTTAAAGTAATTAAAACTTACATGATCAACACCAACATATTCTATATAAGTAGCAAATCCTTCATTCAGCCATAGATCTGTCCACCATTTCATTGTTACCAAGTTCCCGAACCATTGATGAGCTAACTCATGAGCTATGTCTATGGCCACGCTCTGTTTGTCTCTGGGTACATTCTCATCTTTGTCAAAAAGAAGTGTTGTTTCCCTAGAAATTAAATAAACAATAGAATAAACCAACCAATACATAGACATCAAATTTCCTAAATAGACTATTGGCTAAGACAATCCTTTATGTATAATAAAAGTATTTTTTGTCTATGACTAAATTTAAGCAGTCAAATTTGAACTTTACCTGAATGTGATTAAGCCCCAATTTTCCATAGCACCGCTTGAAAAGTCAGGAATCGCTATCAAATCTAGTTTCTCCAAAGCGTAAGGAAGACCGAAAACATGCTCGTAGTATTCTAGAAGTTTTGGTGTTATACTTAAAGCGTATTTAGCTTTATGTATTAGTTCAGGTCTCGTCCATATTTTAATAGGTTTTGTTATATTGTCTTTACTAATATAGTTTGTCTCTAGGTAATGAAAATCTGATATAACATAGGCAACTAAATACGTAGACATGTTAACTGATCTGTCAAAATGTGTCCATTGCCAGCCGGGCTCTTCTTCTCTGGAATATCAAAAATTATTGAATTATTTGAACATCCTGTACTTTCCCATTCACTAGGTCGCATCAGATTTTCAATCTCCAAATCGATCTTAAGTCATTATTTTTATTATCAAGCAATAATCAAGAGCATTAAACATATTAACAAAGTTATATCGAAAAAAAAAACATACTTTGTATGTATAAAAATTTTTTTTTGTCTGTCTGTATGTCTGTCCGCAGAGCCGGGTTTGTTACGAGTAATCTCCATAACGGCTTTACTTATTTTGAAGGGACTTAGACTGGAAGATAGCTGATGTCAAACATAAATCTATTTACGTGTCTGATTTATAACTTTCCTTATACCAATGGCAAAACCCAAATATTATAAATACACTTTGGTTATCTTTAAGGAACGTGAAAACCAAGTCTTTTCCTTATATTAAATATTTATTTTATATATATTTTGGGAAATTATTTTATATAGAACTTAGTCAAGAATATTCCAAATCATCATCAGCTCACTATACGTCCCCACCGATGGGCTCGGAGCCTACCCTAAGTTAAGGGTGATAAGGCCATAGTCAAAGACGCTGGCCAAGTGCGGGTTGGTTGACTTCACACATATCTTTGAATTTCTTCTCACATATGTGCAGCATCACGATGTTTTCCTTCACCGTAAGAACGTCGGATAAATGTACATATGTTAATCGGAAATGGAAAAACACATTGGTACATGGCGGGATTCGAACCCAGGACCTGCAGATTGCACGTCAAGTGCTGGACCCCTGAGCCACCGGCGCTCCTTTTTCATAATCCAAATAAATGTTTCTAATATAATAAATGTAAAAGTTAGTATGGATTTTAGTTCAGGAAATGATGGCTCCATTTGGGATATTTTTTGGTATTCTACTAATTACTCAATAACTAGACAACAAAATAAAAATATAGTTTTTAAATCTAGATAGCAATGAACGTCTTACACATTTTCCTCGGCTGATACTTTCATGTTAGACAAAGCGGTCATATTTGCTGGATGTAATATACTGATTTCAAACTTGGCTTTGAAAGCGGGCTCATCAAAACATGGAAATGCCGCCCTAGCTGATGTAGGTTCAAATTGAGTCACACCTAGGTTTCTGAAAATGAAATAAACACATATAATTTAGGAAATCAATCAATTGTTTAGATGGATAGATTGATGTTTGCTTGAATATATCTCCAGAACGACTGAATAGATCTTGCTGAAATTTGGCATAATCTGGAAGAACACACAGGCTATTAATTAAGTTCTTAGTAATTTCCGTATGGACAGAGTCGCGAGCACTAGTATATTACATACTATTCAAGTTTGAAATAAATTGTTTAAAATTAATTTCTTTTAAGGTGTTTTAAATGATAATTGACTTTGCAACTTACTTTATTTCATTTTTACTTGTAGTATATGTACTTTTATAGAAACCAGTCATCGAATTTGAAATATTTCCAGCAAATGACAGCTCCAGTATGTAATCAATGTCAGATTTGAGTGGAGATTCCAATGTTAATATCAATCTATCACCAGTACCCTCCTTTATTGACAATATCTTTATATTACGTACACTACTGTGAGTCACCTGAGTGTCAACTATTAACTCAAGATTGGTAAGCGGATTTGATGTTGTATGATTAATAATATCAGTATTATTTTCTGTAGTAACGGAATTCTCTGACTCATTTTGAGGTACCAATACACTGTTTATTGTAGTAATGTCTGTAGTATTACTTGTTTCACGCTTTTTCCTTGCATTTATTGTTTCTTGTTCATAAATCTGTTCCGTAAGTGTAGCATTCTTATTAATACTAAGACCTTTAGAGTGTAAAATAATCTCTTTAACTTGTTTACTGGCCCTTAGTGTTATGTACACATCTCCGCTGAAGACAGAATTTTCTATGTCAGTTTTTAATTTCAATCTGTAAAAACTTGGGAACACATGAGGTGGTAATCTGAGGTTGGGTGAGGGTGCGTTTGTGTACCCAAATGGTTCTGTGTTATCCCAGAAGTCATGTGGTGCTTCTTGCGATATCTGAAATAAAATAAAAAAATTCACTTTGATTATTCAAAGAAATGTCAATCGGAAAAAATCATAGCTTTAATTAAAAAAATGTTTCAAATTTTTTAATGAACCCCATTGTTTTTCGGCTGAAAAATGGAATTATCTTTTCATGAGTATTTTATTGTATTTTTTCATATAAGTATATCGAAACCAATCCCATATCTGTAAATGGGTGGGTTCACAACCCCACTAGACTTGTTAATTGTCCTTTACTAACTTAACCAAAATGTTTAAAATATTTTTAGAAACTACTTGTGCTATATTATTTTAATGATTTTATTAATACTCACATTTTCGTCACCACAAATTGAAAAAATATTTATAAGAATAATAATATAAATTAAATGACTCATTTTGTAAAATAAAAACTAAGAAATATCACAGGTATGAGGGAAATTCAATATGTTAAACTAATACACTTTTAAATTCATATCAAATATTGGAAAAGCATTATTAATTAATTTAAATTTAATTTTTTACTAAATTAACAAATATAAGTATACACTGAAAGACGTTATCACTCTGTGACATATTGATTTGTAACTGTCAGTTTGACGCCAGGCATTTGTTTTTATCTGACCAAAGAGTATAAACACCAGTTTGCAAAGGTCACGTATTTATAGACTTTTTTTTACATAATTTCCGTTTTATAGATAAATTGCCGTGGCAATGGGCAATTGATAAAACTGCAATTAATTTAAACTTTGATTTGGATAACGAGTTGTTATTTAAAAATTGTTCTTTGCAATATCATCAACCCAATTTATGTGCTGGGCCACTGATGGATTTAGATCTCTCAATAAACTTTGATATTTTCCAAGTAGAATTTTTTTATGTTAAAATGAACTAAGATAACAACTAAATACTTGTGGATAAACATACCTTAAAATATGTTACAAAATAAACAATTACTCCGACTATGAAAGCAAGGATAACCGCAAAGATGACAAAAGAGATGCATATACAAGTCGAAATAAAAATTCCTCCTCTTCTTCCATAGTGAATGTCATCGAGACCTTGAGTTTCACACGCCAGGAACTGCTGGCGACTTGTCGATAAAGCCATGTCCTTTACACATACTGAAATAAATAATTATAAACATATTAGTAGCACAATATAACATTTGTTTTAATTACATACGCATTAAGATTCAACAACCAGGATCATATAATTTATTAAATATAACTACTTATAAATTTATAAATAATACACAGCAAAAACTAATATAGTAATTTGAAAAATCGACAGTCTTAGCTGCCAATAATTGTTTCTAACGCCAGTTTAGTTCAAAATCGTTTAGGCAATTTAAGTGGTGTACTAAAAACCATGAAAAAAAATATTTTCGCAATGCGCTATATTCCTAGTTATAAATGACTGATTGTAAGCTTTAATAAACAATTAAATTATTAAAGCTTATTATAATCGGCGAGGTGAAATCGTTGAAAGCATATTTGTGTATAGTTAAGTCTCTTTCTAAAATTATTAACCAAAACAGTTGGCTGCAACTTCCAGATAAGATATTGCCTAGGGCAAACATACTGGGCGAAAGGACTACGACCACTCTTTGGGAATTTTGTCCCTTGTAAAAACCATATTAATAAGTCGTTAAATATAGGTAGGGTCCTCTAACAGTTGCTTGTTTACCTACTACGTTACTATCGACATAAACCTTGTCTAATCGTGTGCGGTGTGACGAATTGTATGCGGGCACCTGCGATAACAATTTGCTACCGAGCTACGATTTTATGATTCAAGTTAAAATATTGCAATATATACGCAAAAAAAACGCAAATAAAAAAACCGACGATTATTTTTTATGATGTACAAATCTGAAATTCCTTTGCCTTATCTTATATACAAGTGTCTATGGTTGTTTACGATTATTTCTTTCTTTTTTTATTGCCTATTCTTTCATAAATTGCCAATCTACTTGACCAATAATAGCCATTACAGAAAATTATTAGCAGTCATTTAATTAACGATTTTTCAATCAATAAATTATTAAAAAAAATGTCGATATATTTTTTCTAATGTTATAGTATGTTGTGTTTATTGAAATTACAAGCATCTCTTAAAAATGGACTTTCAGTGGAAAAATCCAATGCAATTATATTAGTTTAGCAAAGAAATAAAGTTATCTAAATATGGGCACACAGGTATATTCAAGGTTATATTATGTTGTAAGTGAATGTACTTCCAATTCCATGTACAATGGTAAACATATAAGGATTGATATGTATGCCATTGTGATTAGAACGAAGTAAGAACATGCAATACTAACAGTTTAGGTTTGAAATCTTTGCCTCACTAATATTATAAATGCGAATGTTTGGTTTGATGAACGGCTGTTTGTTTGAAGGTATCATCCACTACGCTGAAATTTGGCATAGATGTATGAACATAGCCTGGAAGAACACGAAGCTAGTTCACGAATAAATAAAAATTAATGAAATTAACCGACCTTCAACTTTAATGTAAAATATATGAAGTAATGTAAATAATTTCAAAATTAGAACGCAAAACGAGAAGATAACAAATGAGCAGCGCTATCAATTTATTATACAACGTTAGTTATGTCTAACAAATATCAATACATGAACGCTTTTAAATTGTGTTTTTTAAACAGATTAGATATAAGATGCCGCATAATTGCGTGTTTTTTTTCATCTGACTATGTATATATTTCACATTCAGTTATTCTAAGGAAGCTTCTTAATGACAACTTCAGGAGTTTGTGCCGCTGGTCATAAAGATAAAGATAGCTTTATTTTCTACTAGCTGTCGCCCGCGACTTCATCTGCGCGGATTTAAAAACAAACTTGATGAGTAGCCTATGTGTTCTTCCAGAATATGTTCTATTTGTGCCAAATTACAAAGATTCGTTGAGTCGTTCCAAAGATACCTTCAAAGAAACATTCATTCATCTAAACATTCGCATTTATAATTTTAATGAGATTATTGGTTAAGAATTATCTCCACTTTATTTCCTGTCATCTTACAAGGCCGTTGGATGTGGGTCTGTACATCACTAGAATAATAATAATCGCTAATGTTCTATTTAGCACTAAATTTGCGATACTTTTAGACTTACAGTGATAATAGTAAAATTGTTGCACCAGTTTTCTTATCTGTTGTGTGAACGTTATTTTTTTTGTCGTTTAGTAATAAAAATCTTCTTTGAAATAGTTATTCGTGACTTATTGACACGTTAACAACAGGAAATAACCATATTTGGTGCGTTATATGTCAGCATAGAAGAATGTGACGAATTATATGACGTATATTATAACGTCATGGATTCAATAGTATCTAGCCTAGATTTCCGAATTTTGTTACTTTTAAAAATTTTAACTGCTTTTACTTATTGCACTATTTAAATCTCAGGTAGAAAATATTAAAGGCAGTGTATTCTTTATTTAGTAAAGAGGCGCATTTTCATACATTCATAAGTCAAAAAAGTTTATTTTAATAGGAAATGAAATATGCAGATTAAAAAAGTAGCAAGATGACGTCATAGTGAGTTTAGGGCTCTACAACATAGCGGGAAATTAAGACCATAAATTAAATGGTGAGTGTTCCATCTCACGTACGCTTACTCTATGACGTCTTTATACGTAATAATTTGCGGTCTGTGCGCCTTTTTATTATCTATAAAAGCAATATTTCCGCAAATATAGTCCTGTAATTTTTGTAATATAATATACAAAACTGGAATCAATTGCATAAATAATAAGGATCAAAATTTGTTTGAAAAGTTATTGTAAATCATACGTTTTATATAATATAGTAAGTAACTTCAGGAAAATATTACGTATAGTTGTGTTTATATTTGCGGTCCATGCCCCCACGTGAGTAATAAATGGCATTTAATGCAACGGTTTTTTAAACCTAATTAAATCAGAGCTGCAATAATTAACATTGGAGAATTTAACAAATTTTAATAAAAAAAGCTCCATAGATTATTTATTTATCAATGATAAAGATTAAATATAATATGTTATCTATGGTCCAAGTTTAATGGTTAATTCCTTTTATGGGCTGAACTTACCGGTTAAGAAGGTAGCGCGAGAGAAATTTACTTATCTTACTAATATTGTAAATGCGAATGTTTAGATGGATGGATGGATGTTTGTTAGAAGGTCCTTTATAAAATATTACGTAGACATAAAATAATCTCTAGTCTATTAAAGTAAATAAACGGCTGACAGTTATACAAACCGGATGTTCTTACGCAGATTCTTAATTTATGATTTGTTTGATCTTGAACCGCCTTTGTACTACGTGAGAACGTTAAACGAAAAGTGTGTTAGATAATAGAGCTTTTGATGATAGATAAGTGGTTAAAAATACTATAAACAAATGCTATTTGAAGACGCAGCTTTTTGCTTTTAACAATGGAACTTAGTTTAATAAAAAAAACATGAAAAAAAAGAAATCATAATATACATTGTACCGTGAAATACCTGCCAGGAATCGCGTTTTATAGTGAGTTTCTGAGCATTAAATCTATCTTTTAAACATATAGCTATCTCTGTTTTGTCAATATGTTTATACATCGATTTGGATATCAGAATCCATCGGTTACTCATTCAAATTTCAATGAATAACCAGATCAAACTTTCACTATCGGGACCACATGGGATGACGTCATTCAAACTTTTGTTGTAAGAAAACTATAAAATTTGTTTCGTAAAATTCGTTTGGTGCTTGTAAAAAAATCTTCCGTTATTGTAATAAAATATTAATTAAATTTTCAGCCATATCGGTAAAGCCGATATTTATATATATATTATATTATATTATATATATAAAGTCGTGTTAGTTACACTATTTATAACTCAAAAACGGCTTTACCGATATGGCTGAAAATTGATGAGGAGGTAGCTTAGAGCCAGGAGACGGACATAGGATACTATTCATTTTTTTTCGAATTTATGCCTTGAAGAGCTGCTTTTTATTTAACTTACTAATATTATAAATGCGAATGTTTAGATGGATGTGATGTGGATGGATCTCGATTGTATTTGGCATACGTATAGAACATAGTATGAAAGAATACAGAGGCTACACTAAAAAAATTTATATATCCACGCGGACGGAGTCGCGGGCGACAGCTAGTATGTAAGAAATACTTTAGTACATTAAATTAAATGATGCTATCTGCGTTACCAATTAAATTAAAAACATGTGAAAAAAATTCACCAAAATATAAAGCAACTAAACTAGATGCCTTATATTTACATGTTTAGTGATGTCAAAACCACAAATTCAAGTTTTTTTTAACAATAATTTGCATACATTATTTACGGTTAGTTTTTCAAGCCACGTAAAAGGCGATATTTGGATATTTGGAGACATATGTGTAAATTCCACGATCGTCAACTATAGTTAATTTTCCTTACTTCGTTTTTTACTTTATGACGAATCAAAATAATTTCGCAATGGATTTCGTTGTTATATTTTTATCCGCTTAATTTTTGTGTCGTATGTATTTTTGACTATCAATAATAATTTGTACGCAATATTATATAGCGTGTAGTATTATATATTGTGTATATTTAACAAAGGCAATCCTTATTTAAGCTTTACTAATATTATAAATGCGAGAGTTACTCTGTCTGTCCTTATTTCACGCAAAACTACTGAACCGATTTAAATGAAATTTGACGCACAGATAGTTTAGAGGCTGAGAAAGGACATAGGCTACTTTTTACAATGAAAAAAGGGTTGTAAGAAGTTGAAAATTGGGCTTGTAATTTGTAAGAAAGTATCGTCGTACGGATAGAAGCTTGAAACTTATTTTTAGGCTGTTAATTTGATATAAATAAATACGACATTCGATGTTTGTAAACATGATACCCTTAAGGGTTCAATATAACATTAGGGAATAGGAGATGAAAGGTTGTACGGGTATATAAGGTTTATGTGAATGTATTGTAAGTTAAAAATGTTTTTTTTTTTAATATTTTAAGTATAATAATTGGCCTAAGTCATTAAAAATGCCACCCAAAACATTATTCCATGCGGACGGAGTTGCGGGCACAATTCTTTATACGCGGGTACAACTCTTTATACGCGGGCACAACTCTTTTTATACGCGGGCACAACTTTTTTTATACGCGGGCACAATTCTTTTTATACGCGGGCACAACTCATTTTATACGCGGGCACAACTTATTTAGAAGATATGTATGTATTAGGTTGCGCAAAATCTTTTTGCTATAAAATGACTCATTGGAATGTTGGGAATGATTTATAAATATCAGCCGCAGTCGTAGAATCGATGGTAGAAAAATTTATTAACATAACATTTGGTACGCTATCAAAACCGTAACGAATATTCAATAGTTCAGTAGTTCATAGAAAACTAATAATAAAGTCTATCGAGGTCACCGGTCTATAAACTAGATTCAATAGACTTTATATAAATATTTGGTATGAGAGATTTTACAGCAGTCAATTGAAAGAAATTTCTATGTTGAATGATTAAAGATAATTCAATAAATATTCAATAATATTGTTATCATGATTTAATAGTAAATAAAACTAAGTTTATATTTATTGTTCAAATTCAATCTGTATTTAACTTTTGCTTTTTTAAATAATTAAATAGCGTTTTAATAATAGGTTATTTTTACCTAAAGTCATTAAATGAATACGAAAAATTCTGACGTTTATTTAAAGAATTAAAATGTACAATGAAAAAAAAATTTACGGAATGAAATTAATAACTAAAAATAAAAGAAGTTTGCAAGCGTTGAAATCAATCAAAGTCAACATCGCATGAAATTAAAAAAAAACAACATTAAGAGAGTCGTCCTCATTGCGCATCTTTAAATTGTTGAATTTGGATCAAGGTTTGTACAATCTGAATTTTTGTCTTTTACTTGAATTCGTAAATGTATTTTTGAAATAAGAAAATTACTTACTTTAATTTAAATTAAAACATTTAAAATTTCCAAACCTTAAAATTTAGTCACATCTTATTAATAATGCGAACGTATGAATAGATGTTTGTTACCAAAAACTGTATGAATCTGGAGGTATTATACACGTAGATAGACTAGAGTATGGAAAAGCATATTTACTATTATCCAAGAAAAATGAGTGTCGGTGGCTCAGTGGTCAAGTGACTTGCAATCTGCAGGTCCTGGGTACGAAGCCCGCCATGTACCAATGTGCTTTTCGATTTTCGATTTACATATGTACATTTATCCGACGTTCTTACGGTAAAGGAAAACATCGTGATGCAACCTGCACATATCTGAGAAGAAATTCAAAGATATGTGTGAAGTCAACCAACCCACACTTGGCTAGCGTGGTTGACTATGGCCCAATCACCCTTAACTTAGGGTAGGCTCCGAGCCCCTCGGTGGGGACGTATAGTGAGCTGATGATGAAGAAAAATGTACAGGATCCAAGGAATAAATTTACTTTCCACACTCACTACTAGCAACAGCTAGTAGACATAAACAACAACAAAAACAATTTTATGTTTTCTGCGCATGTCACGTGACAATTTGTTATTGTCGGATGCAAAGTCGAATTATTAATGCGAATATAATTGATTATCCACATTTCATCATGGTTGATTCATAGCTAAAATTGCATCATAATTGTGCGTAGTATTTATGGCTTACTAGCTGTCGAACATGACTCCGTCCGCGCGGAATTTAAAACAAAACTTAGTAGCCTATGTGTTCTTTCAGACTATGTTCTACATCTGTCGTAAATTTCAGCCAGATTCATGTAGCCGTTTTGGAGATACCTTGTAATAAACAACTATCCAAATATTCGCATTTATAATATTATATAATTAAGATTTTAAACGCTTTTATGTATTCGGAAATCTAATTTTACTTTAAAAGATCTCTTATTATGGATTTTTAAAACATCGATTGTTTATCTATTATAAACTAATTTTTATTTTCGTTTTTTTTAAATAATTTTTGGGAAAATAAAGCGCCATAAATTAAAATTGGTTTTGTCATGTTTTTCTATGCCTTTACATTTGACTATTGTATAAAACGTAATTGATGATCGTCATTTGTCTTAATTTTTTGCTGTAGACTTTAGTTTGAAGTTTGACGAACATTGGACGAATGGCGTTCAATATTCATAAAATTGTTGCATCACTGCGTAGGTAGTTGAAAAATTGCTTCGATCTTATTGAACTCAATTATAAATCATTGGCAAATAAAAAAAAACATAAAAACGATTACTTTTAATCGTAAAATGACGTTACGTATCGCTTTCAATTAATCAATTTTGTCTTGAATTATATGTACGTTATTTGCACAAGTGTTTATAATTTGATTACAATAGTTTTTGGGACTTTAAAATATAGAAATACATTTAAATATTAATTTTATAGGTATTTCAAATTTCATATTTTATCTATAAATAGTAGTTTGTACTCTTATTTAGTTTTTTATATCAATAAAAATATATATTTTTTTTATTATTGTTATCGTGACCAATTAATTTGCAATACCAATTTAAATATCAAGAAAGTGAGTTATGCATTAAAATCTGAATTGAAAAATAAGAAAATCATAAATTAACGCAGCATGTGTAGCAAATTAATTTGTACCGATATTGTAACAAAAATAAAAAAAACGAAAACGCAAAAGAAATTAATTAAAATTGCAAATTAAAAAATTACATTAAAATGTATCAGCGAAATTAAAGCAAGCACACAAATTTTATTTAAAGTTTACGAGCTAAATATGCGAGTGTATTTCCAAATACAGATATTTATTACAGATTAAAATTCTAATAAAAAAAAATATTATTACCGTTCTCCAGATGGCACCCGTAAATCCAAGTGGCTGAATGAGCACATTCACCATATACTGAAGTTTACACGACGAAAAAAAAAACAAAAAAAGCGAGGGAAAACGAATCGTAATATGTCATGAGCGACGCGCGCAATGCCGGTAAATGACGGTAAATTCACTTCGCAGTGGGCGTTATTTTACGTATTTAACGTCCAGTGGTTATTGGACTACCACACACCTTGTAATGTTTCAGTGATCAAGGAGGTAGGTAGATCATATTATAATGGTTATTTCATGGTATGAAGTGGGTTGTTTGCAACGACCTTGTTGATAATGTCTGTGCTACCTGCATTATATTATTTTTCTTACAGATATTTGTTTCTTTTGTCTGTTCCTATGTTTTGTTGATTTTACAGTCGCATGTACTTCAAAAGTAATTAGTTTTTATTATTATGTCATATAATAATCATCCAACGACGTTTTTTCTAAAAGGACTTTAACTTGACTGTGGGATTCACTTTGGTTACACATTTTTTTATTTATATTTTAATTTCCATGGCATTTATTTTGCCTTTATGGCATCAACAATAATTTCATTATTTCGAAACATATGTTTCAGTTCATTTCCATGTCCGTGAAATTATTGAATGGGCTCTGTCTTACCGTATCTTATTTCATTCCTACCGGTATTATAGCTTGCGTCATAATTTCTTCAAGTTTTAATAAATTAACAATCTATGATTTTATTACAATTGAAACTTTTTGCGGATTAAAATTGCTGTCCGAAAAATTTTATATATAACAAGCTGTGGCCCGCGAATCCGGTTTCGCGGAATTAAAAAAAAACTTATAACCTATGTGTTCTTCCAGGATATGTTCTACATCTATTGTAAAATCAGCGAGATCCATGCAACCGTTTTGAAGATATAATACTTTTAAACAAAGACCCATCTATCCAAACATTCACATTTTTAATATTAATAAGAGTAAAAATAAACGAAGATTTATTTATTCGATGTCTAGACCGGTATGGATAAACAATCGAAATAACAGTATGTTTCAAAATCCGTAAGTAACCCAGACAATTACTTTTAGCAGATAAAAACCTTACATTTACACTATTCCGTACTCTCATATCTATGCTTTTTTGTCATTGATGCGCATTTGGGTATTACCATAGGCAATGAGGTGTTAGCACTATGTTCTTAGAAATATAGCGGCATATCTTTCATCACTCGATGGTACATAATTATTAGTTTACATACTCATTAGGTACCTACAGCTATCATTAAGCGTTTGTCACGGTATATTTATATCGATGTTTTATTCTACTAAATGGCAACATAACTATTGTTTTTGTAAAATATTCAAGACTAAAGTAATAGCTTTAATATACTAGCTGTCGACCGCGACTCTGTATGCACAGTATTAATAAAAATAGTAGCTTATGTATCCTGCATGACTATGATCTTAAACTATGCCAAATTTCGTTTAGCTATTCTGGTGATACCAAATAACAAATATCCATGTTTGAATTCATACATACATCTAAACATTCGCATTTATAATATTAGTAAGATTTGAGCGAAAATAGCTTATACTAATCTTACTAATATTATAAATGTTTGAAGGAATCTGAAGGACGGCTGTATGAATCTCGCAGAATATTATACGTAGAACATAGTCTGGAATAGCATATAGGCTACTAATTAAGTTTTTTATTTAATCCCGCGCCGACGGAGTCACGGGTGACAGCTAGTAATGACACCGATGATGTTTCTTTCGGAAGAAGATCCTCATGATGTCTTCCCTTCTCAAATACTCTTCCTAAGATGCCTTAAATTGGTATAAATAGACAAGAATTGAGTTAATGAGGACGTATGAAGTCACTTGTAACTTTAAACATCCTTTACAGCGTCGATGATACTTATTTCTTTATTAGATCTTACATACAGGATGTACACAACTCATGAAACATTTATATCATAATAAGAAGATCGTATTTTATGTCAGAAGGTGTCGCCTGCAATTCAGTTCGCGCGGAATTAAATAAAATAATTAGTAGCCTGAATGTTTTTCCAGACTATGTTCTATATGTTGCCAGCCTCTGTTTTTCCGTCCAAATATGATATTGGGACCTTCAAAAGTAGAGTGAATAGGCACTTACTAAACTAGCGCGTACCATCTTTCGACCAAGTCTCCACTTCACCAGGTGGGATCGTGGTCAAGCGCTGGCTTATAAAACGTAAAAAAAAAAATGTATGTCAAATACCATCGAGATCTGTTCAGCCGTTCTGGAGATACCTTCAAACATCCATCCATTCATGCATCCATCGCAAAATTCGTATTTATAATATTAGAAATCTTACTCAGATAAGAAGTTCGTATTTTTTGTTAGAAGCTGTTGCCCGCAATTCAGTCCAGTCAGATTTAAAAAAAATTAGTAACTTACATGTTCTTCCAGACTATGTTCTACATATCTGATATATTTTATTAAGATCTATTGAGCCTTTCCGGAGATGCCTTATAACAAACGTCCATCCATTCAAAAATTAGGTACTGAAAACATAAGATTTTTAAATTTCAACTTCTAAAACCAGCGTCGAACATCAAAAGCCATAGTTGAAAGTTTGCTTGTCAAGTAAAACAATAAATAATTAATAACAAGAAAGTAAAAAATATAAATATGTGTACGTAAAAACATGTTGATATCTTTTGATAAATTGTCTGTCCTGTGATTTATTGTGATGCTATAGGATTTGCCCGGTGCCCGGTGCCCGGTGGTATTGAGGAAAATCTCATTAAATATTTCAGATAATAAAAATTAGGTTGTACGTACTTTTTATTCTATTTTTATATTCTTAATCAAATATTCTTAATAATATAATTGCATAATAATTAATTTTATTAGGAAATGATTTTACAACACAACAAAAAGGATTTTTTCCAAATATTACTAATATGATAAATGCGAATGTTTGGATGGATGGATGGTTGGATGGAAATGAAATTTGGCATAGATGTAGAACATAGGCTGAAATTAAGTTTTCCTAATGCCGCGCGGACGGAGTCGCGGGCGACAGCTAGTGTATCATAATAATGCAATGACAATGTTCGATTAACTGATTAGTCTTAGCAACAATGGTTAGTTAGTTTAAACAAAACCTAAAACCGGAACGGACAAACGAGGCCTTTCCTCTAATGTATTAGTCAGCGATTTGGAATTAGGGCTGTCAACATAGCATAAACGTAGATCCGAACACTGGCTGTGAAAAAAGCGACCAGAGACTTCACTTCTTAGCAGAAGAAAAAGAGCCACGTCCACTCAATTACTTCTTTTAGTATGTATTATTAAGTGTTTATTAATTAATTAAGATATCTTAACTATATCTTATTTTAGACTTAGCTTACTAATCATCATTGAGTATGTTAGCCTAGTACAAGGATTCTAGATTTTTTGTGATACAGTTTTATAGAGAATTGGCTTTTATCTTTAACTTTTTGGATGTAATTTTTTTAAATTTTTTATTTTTTTTAAATTCCCCTATGTGTAACTACCTCAGATTGGGATTTAAGACAGTCACTGACGTCACGGCGCCACTGTTCTAAGAATAAGCAATTTAAAGAGTATGGAGGTTGATGTGGAGAGATTATTCTGGGAATCATTCGAAAAGCGTGAAGTCCCGTGAACCAACTTTTGATGGAGATGTGTGTGGGTATACCCAAGAATTGAGAGCTTTTGTTAATTTACCTGTGAAAAAAAACGTTCGATATAGTAAATGGTTTTTAATTATAACAAATACAAAAAATATTATGTCTGCTTTTTCGAACATATTTTTAATTCTCGTCGAGACAAATAATACTGCAAATAATGTCATTTTAATATGACTTTGAATATCTATATTTTTGATAAAATTTTCAAGCACTTGGTTCTTTATTAAAGAATAAAAATTTTTAAAATCAAAAACAGACTTCCAATATTTTTAATGACACAAGAAAAAACCATTATCATGCATATAATTTTATTTCACAGTTATAAAGCTGAATAATTTAAAAATAATCAAATCGAATAGCACCTAAATTAGTGGAGAGGCAAGTCAGCGGTCAGCAATGTTTGCTCTTGCCGTCCGACAGTGGGTCATCGTGTTTGCGCTGGTTACGGTGATTTACACCATCGCTAGTTAACTCACATTATTGCCTTGTTAGACACTGATTACGTTTACTGTTTACTTTGACTTCATAGTCTGATGTGCATTCCGAAAATGGCGATATTCTCACTTTAAATACACAAATATCTAAACTACCACAACTAAACCAACTTCGATTAGTTACGTTGAAATGTGGAAATATAAAATATGGATCGTTTGACGAAGTTTAAAATTGATTAAAAGACTTACGCTTAATCAGCTTAAGTATCAGCCACACTCCATGTCTTATCCAGGACGTGTAAAGAGAATCTAAAAGCTAAAATTCTTTTAAATAATTGTACAATGAAAAATATAAAGTAATCAAAGCCAGATATTATTGAATTTTTTCACTGCTTGTAAGTTAAATATGTACGTAACATAATTTTAGCTACATTTATGGTGTGTGCAGAAGCAAAAAGGATCATAATATAGATATACGAATATTTTAGAATAGAAAATGTAAAAAGCGATTCGTATTGCGCGTTAGAGGATATGGAGACCCAATTACGTGGCGTCGAGCGTCCCCTTATATGCTTAAGGGTCTACAAAATATCTATAAAGGTCTATACCAACTAGTGTTTTTTCATTTCGATCAGTCGGGTATTTTTGTAAGTTAAAGAGAGTATTATTTTAAATAGTTTAAGTCTATCCACATTCAGAGGAGTTTAATACTGACAGGTAATTCCTTTGAGTGGATTTAGTATTAGAAATTTACAATAAAGGTTAAGTAACTTATTTAGTATCAAACAACCTATGACCATGTAAGTTAGTCAAGCAGAAGGGAAAGATTGACGTGATGACATTCTTATTTTGCAACAACAGTCCTGAAGTAACTAATTTTTAGGGTTCCGTACCTCGCAAGTAAATATTATAGTGCTAGGAGCCTTTTTCTCGGAAACGCGTGGAGGTATCAAGTAAACTTCTAAGCCAACGTAATCAAAAGATACAGCCGTTTTTGCGGCAAATTTTCGACACTCGCAACTTAATCAAAGCCAATAGGATACTCCCCGTGGACTCAGAATCTTCAAATTTGGTGTGAAGTAACGTCTTATAAAGGATATTTAATAATAGGTTTGTACGGAACACTCAGCGCGCAAGTTCGACTCGCACCTGGCCGGTTTTTAGTATTGACGCACCAGAAATAATTCTGGTTGTACTGATTTTTAAAATGCCATATAAATTAATAGTCAAATTAATTCTTAGTCTATGATATAATTTCTGAAAAAGAGAGTGCAAACTTTTTAATATAATAGAAGGGTGTTAATGCATCGGAACTATGGTACTTCATGTAATTAACATTCTATGAATGCAAATTATATTAGATACTTTACAACAACTGGTTGGTTGACAATCACTGCATGTCGTCAGTGCAAACGAGCTATATCCTGGTGGCAATTGGCTAGAATTGAGCGGGCGCGAGCAAACATCGCCACTGGCACATTGCCCATTCCGACCTGTCTTCAACCAGTAAGTACACCGCATTGATACATTCATTTACCAGCTCTTAAGTATACATTTAATATTAATTTCCTCTAGAAATTTCAATATGGACTCCTTCTTTGTTCTATTATTTGGGAATTCTGGTTTTTCTTTGACCTACTCCTGGTTTATTATAGGTTTTTCTGGTTTCTGGTTTTAAAATAGCAATGCGAATAACATTCTGAATTCATCATGAAATATTTTTATTTAATATCTGTACTTATATTCTCAATGATTTAGCCAATAACTTATTAGTTTTTCAAAATAATAGGTAAAACCATCGAAGTGTTTTATGTGTAACAATTAATATATGAGAAGAAATTATCTTAAGATTATTTGTACTACAAAATTACTGAACCGCTGATTTCTATAAATGGATAGGCTATTGCTTGGAAATGACAGCTTTTGCTTTGTTCCGATTTGAACGCGCTTTTCAGTGTTACCTGACAGTAAATTCTACTTATATTATTAGTTCGAATTCACACCACCGCTACAAACCCCTACCATCAGCGCCAAAATGGCGATAATGAAATATCACAAAATATTACGTCTTAAAGCCAGTCCATTTAAAGATGACAGTGCACTACACTGAATCAGTTAAATCATAAATCGTCTTAAATTAGTCGAATTGTTGTTTTTTTTTTAAAAGTTCATAGTTGCCAGCTAGAATTTAGTTGCGAAGCCTTTTTGCACTGGACTGGACTGGAAGTAATATTTTAGGTTTTATAGATTGTACTTTAGATGCTGAGTTTCCACCACGAGAACATTTGTATATTGTAATATTTATGTTTACGCAGATGGTCGCCAAATACGTCAAACACCACTGTGAATAGAGGAAAGCGCGCTTAGCGATGTTCCTGAGTCCTTAACCTTTAAAATCCTTCCCATATTCAAATTTAATTAAGCGCTACCGTGCTAAAGCGCGCAACAAAGATGGCTTAATATTCAATACTTTGTTACAGAGTTGAAGGCAGTTTCGAAACATGTTGTGGCGTGTTTACATACTCACGCTATGCGTGCTTACAACAAGTACCTCGCAGCCGGATGAGGTCAGTTATTCAATCACACCGGTGCTACACATTTTATTGGCTAATTCGGCCCCTTTGGAGAGAAATTTGATATACAATTTATATAAAGCGTATACTAGATGGCATTATTTTGGTACTTTAAAGAAGCAAATATGCAAAATTAATTATAATTCCAGAGTGATATAATCAATATTATTTTATGAATAGGATAGTGAAGCAAAGTCATCATCATCAGCTCACCATAGGGTCAGGGTTGATTAGGTCATAGTCAACCACGCTGACCAAGTGCGGTTTGGTTGACTTCATACTTATCTTTGAATTTCTTAAAGGTCGCCCCACACATAATTAAGACAAGAAGCATTGACTTAAGCAATGCGCACAGTCTGGCTATGGAGACTAGACTCGAGAAGAGTGTACTACCTACTGGTTACAATCTTAGCTTGGAGCCGCGTATTGAAGACGCGGTGTACGAAGGTTATGTGGCCATCAACTTGACGTGGGCGTCGGAAACTGATGAGATTACACTCCACGTCTCCCCTGAAGTGGAAATCATGAATACAACGGTTAAAATATGGCTTGAGGACTCGTAAGTAGTTGAACATAAATCATCTTCACTCTGGGGCTCGAGGCCTACCCTAAGTTAAGGGTGATAAGGCCATTGTTAACCACGCTATTCCAGTGCGGGATGGTCTTTATACATATCTTTAAATATCTTCTTAGACATGTGCAGGTTGCATCACGATTCTGTGACCGCAAGAATGTCGGATAAATGTAAATCGAAAATCGACAAACACGTTGTTAAATGGCGGGATTAGAACTCAGGAGATGTAGATTGCAAGTCAAGTGTTTAAACCCGAAGCCACCGACGCTCTGAAATTGAACACAATTACAGTACAAAGACCATAAATTATTTCTATCTGAATTTATGTGTTTACTGGAACACCTATTAATTAGTTTTAATGACAGTGATAATAAAAAATAATTATATTCGTTAAGATATTTGGGAATATTAAGAAAATAACACAAGAATTTACAATTTTTGATATAAAATTATTTCATATTCGTTCCTCAAATCATGTTTTAAAGTAGGGTTATGAATGTCAAAAATTCATTATCATGTATACGGTAAATCTTTTTAAACTAAGTGGAATATATTTTTTAGTATGGAATTCCGCGAGTTACGTATAAAGGACATTGACCCAGACACAAAAAAGTCTACGATATTGTTCCAAGTCGAGAGAATGCTTCCGACAGACACAAAGGGAGTTATTGAAATGACATTTAAAGGAAAAATGGAAACCACAACTAGTGAGGGTTTCTTTAAATCTACTTACAAGACAGAGCAAGATCGTGAAAGGTAAATTTGATGTGATGTTATTCTATTATATGTTAGCTTTTCCTTTATTCAAAAGATTCACCGTAAATAAGTAATTTCTGTTTAAAATGAGTATCTAAATATTTCTATTTAATAAAAATACATGTAATATTTAAGTTTTAACGTAGTAATTACAAAGTTTCTATTTTCGATGCACTGTAAAATATCCCTTTTCATATTTTATTTCTAAAGTAGCGAAACTGTAATGTTGCTATTAAATACTGGATGGCGCTAGTTGTATTTTAAAAGGCGGTAGAGTAGTTGCTGATGAATAGGGTAACTGCGATACAGTTCTTTGCTACGCGGCATAGATTGTTTCCTTGTAATGATATGTGATGAATGAATGAATGATCATATGCTGTTTTTATTTTTGGAACAGAAACTTGTTACTACGTACAAGTAGCTGTAGATAAAATAAAGGTATTATAATTCTCGGCTGCGACTCCGTCCGTGCGGAAATAAAAAAACATAATTAGTAGCCTATGTGTTCTTACAAACTATGTTCTATATGTATATATGGCAAATTTCATAGAGATACTATTAAAGAAACATCCATCCATCCATCCATGCATTTAAACTTTTGCATGTATAATATGAGTAAGATGTAATCTTACTAATATAATATAAACGCAAATGTATGGATGGATGTCTGTTAGAAGGTTTCTTCTAGTTTTTTTACCTCATGCTCAAACAGTAGAATTCGGTATCTTGTTGTTACTGCTGTTACTTAATCTAGAATATTTAATTAAAATAATAAATTATCTGTCTTTAAAAAAAAAATATTACGAAGTAAGTATTCATTAATATTAAAATAAGTAATTAAATTACTAATTAATTAAACTACCAAAATAATACTATAAACTATATACTAAAACTAAACCAAACTAAAAATAATAAAATAAATAATTAATAAAATAAATAATCTGTCTTTTTGGTATTATAGAACGGTGGTTGCAACACAGCTGCGACCTAATAACGCACGGCGCGTGTTTCCCTGCTTCGATGAACCAGAGTTCAAAGCGCCATTCGATGTCAGCGTGGTCCGACCCTGGAACATGGTGGCTCTCAGCAACATGGAGACTGACAGAATAGAAAATATGTTAGTTGCTATTGAGTATTCTGACGAGTATCAGAAATATCTTGTTATCTTTGTCTTTTTCGAAGATAATGACAGGGATGATGATATATTTTATGCAGATATTTTAGTGCAGGAAACTAATGATAAGGGAATTTTTGAATAACTATTACAGGAATTTTTCGTTAAATCGGGAACACCTTATAAAATGATTTACCTAATTGTTGTATGTTGTAGCACGGGAGAGCCGGATGCTGTGCGTGTTTTCTTCAAGCGTTCGCCGCCGATGTCTACTTTTACACTCGGTCTTGTAATTGCTGATATCGATAAGCTTTGCAATTTCACTAATTTTGACGACGGTTCATCCAATATTAGTGAGTTTAATATCAGACACTTTTTAATATTCATTTCAAAGTCAAATTAAATTGTTTTTAGTGATTAATATTTACTACGTAGATGAAATTACTTGTTTATGAAAAAATTTAAATAAACTTAAGTCGTGTGTTACTAAGCCTTAGTTTGCTGCCTCTACTGAGGCCAAAAACTAGATCTAAAATAGTTTTATAATTGGATGCCCTATTATGGACGTCCACAGTCCACAGTTCTATGTATTATAGATAAAAAAAAAGAAATTATAAAAAACAGTTTTTCATTCCAGCTATACAGTTCTGGGGTCGCGAGGGATATATGGAAGTTTTGAACGAAGCTCTGTTCAAAATAAACTACATAATGAACGTAATTACTAGATACGATTGGCCGGCTTTGCCGATATCCAAATTGGACATCGTCGCATTACCCAACTATCAAGGCGTGAAACCAGCTGATAATTGGGGCCTTATCGTGTTCAAGTAAGTAACTTTGATGTAATTTACATTCTAATTTGTAGACTACAAAGTTCAAGGTCTAATGATAAGTGTAAAGGGCAAAATAAATCGCTTAAATGACCTCGGGTGCTCTGTATGTGAAGTATTAGGGCATTTACTTGTAACAGAACAAGGAGCCGCTCCATGATATGTACTTTTACTTGTATTTTAACATTCGTAAGAACATTACATTACATACAAATGCTCGAGAAAATACTTCACTGTATATTCACCTTTAAAAAACGCTCACTATTTTATTTATTCAAAAACTATTAAGAGAAGAAGTTTTTCTATTTTGTACCTTATCATATTTAGTTAGAGATGATTTTACAATATGTTGTATAGGGAGAGTGATCTGAACAACGAGGGCTACATCCAGCTCGCACAGGAGGTGATGCACCAGTGGCTGGGCGGGCTGGTGACCCCCGCCTGGTGGTCTGATGCTCACATCAATAAGGCCCTTGTTGGATATTTAGCTGTCGAAGCTGCTTTTATGGTACGTTTCCTATATTTTATTTATGACTAGCTGTCGCCCGCAACTCCGTCCGCGCGTTATTAAAGAAAAACATAATAATTAGCCTATGTGTTCTTCCAGACTATGTTCTACATGTATGCCAAGTTTCAGCGAGATCCATTCAGCCGTTTATATAGGAAAGAGAAGGGCTGTTTTAAGGGTTTTTCCGGCAATTATTCGATTTTTTCTCACCTTTTAAAGATTCCCTATACACGAACATTTCAAGACCAAGATAAGATAAATCCGTTCAGCCGTTCGCGAGTTTTAGCGAAACTAACGAACAGCAATTGATTTTATATAAATAGATAGATTACAATGACTATGGTAGAGGTGAGAACCGGTTTTAAAAAAGATTCAATGATGATTTATTCGTTGGTGGCAGAATACCGATTGAATTTAGGTTGCCTTTGATGTCGGATGAAGAGGTATAAACGTCTTAAGATGTAACATTTCTAATAAGAAAGTCCTTACATCAGATGTCATCTTATAGAGTAAAAGTCTACTTCAAAACAAATGACAATCTCCATCCATCCATCAAACTGCCCTTATTCCTATTGAGGGTCGGCACAGTATGTACTACTCCTCCATACATCTCTATCAACTGTCATATCCTCTCATACAGTCGTTCCATACTTTCTTTGGTCTTCCTCTACCTTTGTAGCCATCCACATTCAACATTTTTGCTCATAAATGACAATCTGGAAGCACAATTTTAGTAGGAAAAGCTAGTACTAAAATATTGCATCGAACAATAACGAGATGACAATAAATTTTCGTTTGAGTTGTGATAACATAAGGCTTTGTTTTATCTTCGTTGTGCTCGGAGTATACGTCCGATAACTGAAGTACGTGATCAATCAGCGAGACTTTTTCTCTTCACTGTACCAATACCGAGTGTACAGTCGCTCACAACACGCTCTTGTTACAATAAATACACGTCAATAGTCCACTTATTTTTATATCGTTCACAAAGAACATATAGAAAATTGACACATTTATCCATTATAGTAATATTTACTTAAAAAATGGAGTAAAATGTATAGGTTATTTTTAGAGATATTTATACAAACAACGAACAATGAAACGAGTTTATACGTGCGCGTTGTTAAACTTTACTCACTTAAACAGCTAAGTAAAATCCTTCAAAAAGACTCCGAACGAACCTCTTATGATTCGCACATTAACCGTGAGCTTCTGAAACCCGTCCGTTTAAAACATAATATAGTTTCTGTCTGTCAAAGATGAAAGACTGGGATTTTGATGTCAGAAACCCATACTAAGACATCATGTCTTATGCTTTCGCGTTATTAAACGTAAACGTTGATTTAGAATAATAGGTTAAATAACCTTGTTAACCTTTTAACAGCCATTTTGTTTTTCAGATAAATGGTGGTTGTGAGATGGACGGCAAATGGCCCATGACTGTGCTTTATTCCTTGTACTATGAATATAGCAAACGCTATCCACACTCCAGGATAACAGGCATGAAGCAGGAGACGATGAGCACCAAGATAGAGTTGCTCTTCCGCATGTTCAATTACACGCTTGGTGAGAATGTGTTCAGGAGTGGAGTCAGGAAGTTCCTGAATGAGAGGTGAATATTAATACATATGTTACGAATACATTTTGAATTTTTTGTTTATATCATATCCAGGAAAAGTTCTTGAAATAAAAGACGAAAAAATAAATGTTTTGTCAATGAGAACAGTTTATTTTGAAGACTTTCTTAGTTTCATTGTTATAATAAGTTATGTCTCTATGTCCTGCTGATGAAAATGGAAGAGAAATAATATAGTTCTTACATTCATCATCAGCTCACTATACGTCCCCACCGAGGGGCTCGGAGCCTACCTAGTTAGGGGGGTGATTAGGCTATAGTCAACCACGCTGGCCAAGTGCGGGTTGACTTCACACATATCTTTGAATTACTTCTCAGATATGTGCAGCATCACGATGTTTTCCTTCACCGTAATCGGGTAAATGTACATATGTAAATCGAAAATCGAATAATACATTGGTAAATGGCGGGATTCTAACCCAGGACCTGCAGATTACAAGTCAAGTGCTGGACCCCTGAGCCACCGACGCTCTAATATTATCTATAAATAATATAGTTAAAGTTAGGGGAGTTTTTCTTATTTAAACAGCTTTTGGGCATGCATCTGAAGTCAATCACTACCAAAGTAAACCTTCACAAATTTTGCAAATTTAATATAAACTCGAGGTAAAGGAAAAGAGGATTAAATAAGAAAGTTTCAACTTTCAAAGTCAAGTTTTCGTTAGTTTCCTTGCAAACTACATTGTAAAAGGATGAAACTTTGTAGTTTCTTTTGGAAATATGTGATTGCTTTTGAATTTTTATTAGTTTTGGCCTTTGTGGGATTTTTAGATTTTGAGGGTAGATTGAAATTTATATTAAAAGATTATTTCCAGGGCATATAAAACATTTGATAGCGACTTTCTCTGGCACTGCCTCAACGCGGAATACGCAATCTCCACCAGAGAGCACCAGATTGATGTAAAAACTATTGCCCAGAGCTGGATCGAAAAGGACAGACTACCTCTTCTTACAGTTAAAAGATTTTACAATAATCGTACTGCTATTGTAAAACAGGTATTTAATTATGGTTTTAAATTTAAACAACTTCAATATATGTAAATAATATTATAATTTTCAAAAAGTTACTTTTCAACTAGTCTGTTTTACAATTAACAAACCTGAGGGTTTAACCTGGAAAAAGTGAGGACACAGCAGACTTTAAAGGTTACGCTTAACTTACACTATACACTTTTATAACCACGTTGACGGCTATATCAATAAAAGTATGGAATGACTGTGTGAAAGAGGATATGACAGTTGATAGAGATGTATGGAGGAGTGTGCCGACCTTCGATAGGGATAAGGGCAGGTTGATGATGATGATGTTGACGGCTATATCAATCGGTGGCGACCAAAGGGTTAAAACACGTGTGTTACTAAACAGTACATAACTCTATTTTTGGTGTAAAAACTATTTATATGATAACTATTTGGTCATATTTACCAGATAGTTGTGCAAACGTTAACCTCTATTCAATACTTATATTTTATAGAAATTGTACCTACGCGAGCGTCCTCACGACGTGCCGGACGCGGAGCAGATGCTGTGGTGGATCCCCCTGATTGTGTCTCGCGGAGACGAGAATTACTACTTCCCCAATCTGCTGACTTGGATGAGAGGACCCCAAGATGAAATAGAACACGCGCCAAATGACGATATCTTTTTAGTAGTAAATCCTGAAGAAATTGGTAAGTTACACACAGTCTTGAATTATTTTCAATATTATTTATTCTTCTTCTAATATTATAAATGTGAATGTTTAGATGGATGGATGTTTGTTTGTAGCTATCTCAGGAACGGCTTAACGAATCTCAATGAAATTTGGCTTAGACGTAGAACTTAATTTGAAAAACCACAAAGTCTACTTGGCTTTTTTTTAATTCCGCGAAGACGAAGTCGAGGGCGACAGCTAGTTTCTAATAAATTTGATTTTTCAGCTCCATGTCCGGTTAATTACGATCAGCACAATTGGTACCTCATCTCGAATTCCCTTCAGCACGACAAGCGGGAGTTGTTGGCACCGCTCAGCCGGGCCAAGGTCCTCCATGATGCTTGGAACCTCGCCTTCGCCGGAGAACTCTCCTTCGCCACCGCTCTCAACATGACGCTGTTCTTGAAGAGAGAGAAACATCACATTGTGTGGGACCCTGTGTTCACAATGATCGATCACATTGCTAGACACGTTTGGGATATACGAGACAAATTTAATGTAAGTGCCATTGTTGCGAGAGGTGTGACAAGGGGGCGACAAATAGAGATCCATGGTCTCTGCTTACCCCTCTGGCGTATTGCCGTGGATAAAGTTGTTGTGATTGTTAAGTCTGGTTTCATTTTCAATGTAAAAAATACACAGATGGAGAACCCATAAATTATAATTATTGTATTTGTGTCCTTTGTCCAGGCTTACATCATAAGTCTACTGCGTCCGATGTACGAAGAATTGGAAAAGAAAAAAGAAGCTGAAGAATTGAAGAACTCTCAAAAGAATTTGAGGGCCCACTTAAAGACATTCCTCTGTCAGGCAGGGTACGAGCCTTGCATACAAGAAGCGCAAGAACAATACAGAAAGTGGATGAATGCACCGAATCCTGATGAAGGCAATCCGTAAGTATACACTTCGATTGAATTAATAGCAGTTTTTAAAAGAGAAACCGTTAACATAACAGTTGATGAAAAAACAGTTGATAAAATAGCTGTATTTATTTCAGAGTATCTGATAGATATTTCTGTCCCGTGTTCCGTTGGGGGACACAAGAGGAATGGGAGTTTGGACTACAAAGAGTTATCAACTTCCCTCATTCTCGAAAACAAAGCGAGAGAACATACCTTTTAAAAACATTGGCAGGATGTTTGAGAGACAAGACAAAGATAATGAGGCTTTTAAATATAACTCTTTTAGAAGGGAATGGTAATTTTACTGAAATGGATCTGTTCCTTATCAACAATATGTTTGCTAATTCACCTCAAGCTTATACCACGCTGTTGCTATTTATAAGTGATCATTGGGACGTCATAAGGGAGAGGTTAGTTGACACATTTGTAAAACTTTTACTGAAATTTAAGGAACATTAGCTGCTTTGTTATTACGGCTAAAAATTGGTCCTAGTTACATAAAGGTCATTAACTTTTGGAATCATAAAATATATATAAAATTCTCGTGTCACAATGTTCGTTCCCATACTCCTCGGAAACGGCGTCACCGATTCTCAAGAAATTTTGTGAGCATATTGAGTAGCTCTGAGAATCGGACAACATCTATTTTTAATCCCGCACGCACGGAGTCGCGGGCGACAGCTAGTAAAATAAACATAAATTTAAACAATTTATTTGCATAAATAATTAAATAATTTACGAATTCTGTCAATCATTTTTCAATTCTTGACGTTTTAATTTCATTATTCTCTTTATTTATTTTTTAAATGACTTCAAAAATTAGGAGAGTCTAAATTCATCTTTTTTTTGGTTCGTCGATAGCTCTGCCATTAGTTGTTCGCTTTTCGTGTATTACGTAACATTTTGTCCCATTTTTTATTTTAATACTTTCGTTTTCAGATATAATACTAAATCTAATCTGTGGTCACATTTGATATCAACTGCGACGTCACACTTTACAACAGAATCAGGTCTAGAATTAGTGAGAAGTTTGCACACAGCACATAAAGGTGAGTTCGGTCCGGCGGAGCATATCGTCGAAAAGTCCATTAAAAACATCAAAGAAGAATCCCAATGGTCAGCTCAGAACTTGCCTGTCATGGAAAAATGGCTTGATGATTATTTACGTGTGAATGGAATTACTGTTGAATCAAATCAGTAACTTTTAATAGAATAATTAAATATTTTGTAAATTAAATATTAAATAATTGTAAATTACATATTTTACAAAATTTTAATCGCAATGATTTAAAAATGTGTATTGTAAAATTGCGTTATTAATTGAATTTTAAAAGAAAAATAATAGATATTTGTAATTTTTTACCTACGATATAATGTTTTAAGAAATACTTTTCAGTTTTGAGAATGTTTGTCAAAAATTTACAACTGTTTAATTATTCATTTTTTTTTATTTTTATAGATTAATTATGCAATTATATACATGTATGTAAAGATTTGAAAAGTATATGCATTTTTCTTTGAATAAAAACATCTTTTAATTATTGACTTTTTCTTGAAAAATCCTTTGAAAGAATGAAAAATGAAAGATAAATACATTTTTAAATGCTTAAAAATATTTAGTTATAATACATATGAAATCGTGATTTGATAAAGAAGAAAATTAAAAATTCTTTTATACGTAAATGCAACCAGCCCGTCAGCGTTCTTTTTGACAGATCCATTTTTAAATACTCTGCGAAATTCTCAAAATATTACGAGTATGAACCTTTATAAAATCAATATCGTACACAGTAAAATATTAGAAATCAGTACGAATCTAATATTATAAAAGCAAATGTTTGGATGTATCGATGGATGGGTGAATGTTTGTTAGAAGTTATCTCCAGAATGGCTGCATGGATTTCGCAGAAATTTGGCATAGATGTAGAACACAGCCTGGAAGAACGTATAGGTTAGCTGTCGCCCGCGACTCCGTCCGCGCAGAATTAAAAAAAACATTAGTAACCAATTTATAGTATTATAGTAAGTAGTGTTTTTTCCCCAAATTCCAAATTTCTGCGATATATGTTCGGCCGTCCCGAAGATACCTTCAAACAAACATCCATCCATCTAGGCATTCGCATTTATAGTATTAGTAAGACTAATTAAGTATTTTTTTTAATTCCGCGCGGAATCGCGAGCTACAGCGACAAGCAGTCAAATGAAATCAAATTTCTGACAATGCTCCATTCCACTGCTTTACTCTTATTATCTTTAAAAAATATATATCAATAGTGTTCGTATAGAAGCACTACTTAGCGATGTTTTAAATACAGATTAACGATATTTAAATACCAAAATGTTACCTCCACATCTGTTTATAAGTTGGTTATGCGCGATTCCGTAGCACGTGGCACTGAATATAATTTTCAGATTTGTGGTATTTAGTAGTAATTACGTACACTTACGCATACTCATGGTTCGTGGTCGTCGAGGTGTTTGTAAATAACTCATTAATATGATTCGGAAAATGTGATATTACGGTAAGTACAATACCATTATCATAAACAAATGGCTGTGAAGACCATTTTTAGGTTATTCTAAAAGAAACTGCTGTAGACGATTTGTACAGTCAGCTGCATAAATATGAAAACATTTATAGAACTTCAGGAACTACTCCATGCCTTCGGTTTCTAAAATACGTAAGCGTGTCTTCGCCAATAACAAGTATTCAAATTTGAAAACGTATACAAGTTTGTGAAGCATTGTAAATGTACACATATTTATGTAGCTGACTGTACATTATTTTATTGTAAAATTCTAATAGTTTAAAATTCCCAGAACATATTTTCCTACTAAGAACATACACGTACGTGTTGTTTACACAACATTGATCTGGCAATGTTATTAAAATGTATTCATAGTTTTGACCCTTTGGCGATTAGAGATTTCTATATTTCCGCGTATAAATACGCGGAATACATTATCTATTGGCAGAGAAATATTGATTTATAAACAGTGCGCGCCAATATGCTCCGGATTTATCTAATAATTTGTGAGTTTTTTTTAAATTTTATTATAACCTCCAAGCACTTTTTTTCTCAGTTTTTTCATACATGTTTTATATAAGTGAAAACCCTTAGCTTTCACTTACTAGTTTTACATAACATCTTCTTATTATAATGGTGGACTTTTAGGGCGTTAGTGCGACATCTCTTGGTTATTTGGATACCACATTTTATATTATCTTCCAGTTTTGGTAGCGTCTGTGCAATGTATGGACGGCTCGTGTCCGCCCACATTGCCTGTCGCGGTGTGCGACGCTGCATGCGGGCCGCAGCGACCCTGTGAGCCAACACAACTTTGCTGCCCCACTGAATGCGGTGGCTCCATCTGTGTAGACCCAATGACTAAACGACACTTCGTTAATTACGGTAATTCTTAACACATGATTAAGACAAGTAGATTAACAGCGAATTACCTATTCAATCAACGATCAGTTTATATTTAATAATACATCATAGAAATATATGTACAGTCTTATCATGTATGAGGAAGAAATCTCTTTAAGCGAGAGTAATTGTCTGATCCCGACCGGTGACATCCAAAAATGAGAAACTAGGTTTAGAGAAAAATAAAATACAAAACAGCCCTCGGAGACGTAAGATAGAGGAAGCAATGGGAAAGATCTATGTGTTCTTATTATTCAGAACCACCAACCTATAATAAATTTGAAGGGCTTATAAATTTTATTTAATTTTGACCGCCTTTAGGCTAAAGGGCTTGAGGAATTTATGATAAAACAACTATTGGTAGCAGCGTAATGTTATAGCCTAAAGCCTTCCTCTATAAATGGACTATGCAAAAAAAAAGAATTTTTCAAATCGGACCAATAGTTCCTGAGATTAGCGCGTTTAACCAAACAAACTCTTCCGCTTTATAATATTAATATAGATTGTAACACGTTGAGTGCCATTAACACGATTTTAAGCTACTAAGTAGTATTGAATTTGTTAAATGAAGTATTGTTTGTTACAGTAAAGGAAGGAAAATGTCCGGAGCAGCCGCGAGGCACGTGGTCTTGTAGCCACACGTGCACGACTGACGCAGACTGTCCGCGCGCGCTCAAGTGCTGCGTTAATAGATGTGGCGCCCTTACCTGCAAGATGCCCTCCTTTCCTAACGTGCCTCTAGCGACATAAATTATATCATAAATATCATCATCATCATCATTAGCATGTGTCAGTCTATTGGATATTGGCCTCCCTATGACTTTCTACTGCGATCCATCGTAACCCTACTCAGTTTCCTGCGTTATCATGAGGTCATCTGAGGAGTGGTGAGGAAAGCGGCTCAAGCTTTTGTTTCTCATCCATGGTATCAAAAATATTTTTCTGAATAAATCTTAAAACTAAAAACATTTTTGAAGTGTAATTTATTACGTTGTACTAAACAGAAATTATATATAATTCACTTTAAGGAATGGTTTCTATCAAACGAAAATCTTCTGCAATCTGTAGTGATATAAGGTTTCTTATCTCTGAAGAAGTAAAGCGAAAAAGAAAACAATAGTTTATAAAAGATAATTAAAATACGTAAATGTTTTTACGTTCATATTTTTATCGTTCTACGAGAATGACAATCAGGGTATTAACCAAAGAGTAAGTATACTCTAGTCAAAGAGTAATTATACCCTATTAGCTTTTTACTACCATATTAAAAAAAATTGGAATATTAAAACGCGAACGATTTACTTTAAAAATCAAATTGGCGGTCTTCTTTAGAATATCCAATTAATATTAATGGACGTTGAGAAAAGCATCCATTATTCATCACTAATGTAAAATCTCAACAGTATAGATAAATCAGTAGATCAAGCATCTGTTAAAATATTTATAAATAGATTTAAATTATATGAATCAAACTGTCTTTTTCTTTTTGTTTATATTTTACCACGTTTTTTGAACTGCTTCAAATTTCTAATACGAAGTTGGCGTATTTGCTGTGGTTGGTACTTTGTTAATTACATTTTTAATAATAGTCAAGTGGTTTTATAGATTCGCCTGAATAATTGTCGATTGATGTTTGTCTACTGTCATTGTCTACCCTGTAACCCAAGCTGGAAGTAAATTAGTTCTCACTTCACACGTGGATCTGATTTTAATCTAGGTCAAGATGCTTTCGATCAAGCGGACGGTGAAAGCTGTGAATTAAACGCCTCATTGAAGATAAACATCTTAAAAATTAAGTTACAGACTAACTAGACAGATTCCCTTATGAGTGTCGAAAATTTATGTAAATTTGCGACATAAACAATTGCATCTTTTGATTGCGTTGGCTTAGTAGTTTTATTTTTTTCACATCACCAAAGGGCAGCAGATCTGAGTATTTGGTATAAAATTGAACTTAATTTATAAAATTAAACAGTCCATAATTTTTACGATAATTGTCGCAATATATATGATATGGAGATTGTAAATAATATTTTTAAAATGTCCTTGAAAATCGTCATATGTTGCATTTCATAGTTAAAGTAGAGCGTTTTACTTAATCACCCGCGCTTTATTAAGCTATCTTAATAAATCGTCTGCAACGCCTGGATAATTGTCGACGTGAAATAATTAAATTCTGTCTTTATGATCGTGTATTGTAATTATAAATTAATCATGTTCTTAGGAAAGGATCCTATGATATTCATAAAATAGGATGACCTTCAATTATTTTGTCTCAGGAGAATAATAATAATATTTTACATTGACTAGGTTTCGTCTGAACAAAATCTAAGCCCATTTGACTTACTATAGTAAGCATCTTTGGTTTAAATATTCAATATTAAAATCAATGTAATATTAAAATGTACTATAATAACCTTGTCATATTTGTGGTTACCAATATTAACGTATCGGAATTCCAAAAATAATCACATTATTGAATCCAGGTCAACGCTTAAAGTAAAAATTTAATTTTCCCCAAGCCGGTAGCAAAGCGATGAAGCTCAAAAGCCCGGCGGAAAGTATGCCCCAAACGGCAACAGTGGGGCGACGACGGGGTGGCGTCAATGTGTGGTGGGGAGGGGGTCTTTGTTTAAAAAAATGTGAAACGTCTGTAAATAAGGCCAGGGAACAAACATATACAAATATTTATGATACAAGCATATTTGCTTGTATCATAAATATTTAATAAGATCTATTGATCTTTTATATTATACAATAAAGAGCTTAGAAGAAAAAACATGTCGTTTATACAAAAACAAAAATATTTGATAATACTAGCGGACCCGACAGACGTTGTCCTGTTTACACGTCTTTAATTTGAATAAATTAATATGAAGTTAATATTTGATGAAAATTGTGAATCTAAACCATTCCCAGATCCCCTTGAACACACACAAAAAATTTCATCAAAATCGGTCCAGTCGTTTGAGAGAAGTTCAGTGACATACACACCCACAGAAGAATTATATATATAAAGATATGTACTATTACTTTTTGCTATTTATTGCATACGATTTATACTCACCTCATAAAATTTAAAGCGTCCGTTCGTTACCTTACAACTTCTATGCATTATTAAATTCACGTAGTTTACAGGTAGCTACGATCCATTATCGGCAGCGTTCGAACGTAATTGAATAATAGCTCGCTTAACGAGGCAATGTGCAGCTAACAATTTTATTTTATAGCTTAAAGGACGCAACCAGTAAGCTAGCGTGAACTCCCAAGATTGTATTAGTAGTATAATGAGAATCAAATGAATGTGAAGAAATATATATTATTATGGTATACAGCGTGTTCCAAAATTCAACGATAAACCGGTACTGGTGCATAGCCAGATCGATAACTACATGGGGAAAAATATTAAAAAAATCCAACTCCTCTTGTTTAAAAGTTACATTAACTTTTGTAACTTTTCTTAGAATATGATACCCTACACCGATATACGCTAGTATCGGTTTATCGTTGAATTTTGGGACACGCTGTATGTTGGAATTAAAAATAGCTAAACTTACTAGTATTGTATGGACCTAGTTATAAAAGCACAAGTATCGATATATACGATTTGTGCAACTTACATAAGGAAAGATTTTTTAACACATTTTATTTGATTTCATTTTAATATTGACCAGTCTTTCTTTAACTTGCTATTAAACTATCTGCCTTCAACATCAGTAGGTTCATCAGGGTCTGGCTTCTGACATGTGAGGGCGCCACATCTGTTCGGACAGCACTTGAGAGCTCGCGGACAGTCAGAATCACTGGTGCAAGTGTGGCTGCATACCCACGGACCTCGAGGATACTCCGGACATCGGCCTTTCTTTACTGAAAACGATTATTAATATTTAGCTGAATCCAGTCAATACAATATCAATGTCAAATATAATAAACAGTTTTATCTTGTTTTTCTAGATTTTTGGGCACAAACAAATAAAAAATCGCTTCTAGTAAACAAACAAGAAGATATGTGAGAGATTACTGTTATGATATTAAAATAAGGGTTAATTCAGCTGTTTTTTGAAACTAAAGAGGACAAATAAGCTTGTAGATAACAATGTCAGAATAATTTTTGGTAATATTTCAAATACACGCAACCACAAAAATCTAACTAATATTTTAAATGGGAAAGTAACACTGTCTGTCTGTCCTTCGTTCACGCAAAAACCACCAAACCGATTATAATGAAATTTGGTACACAAATAGTTTAGAGCCTGAGAAAGGACATAGGCTATGTATGGAAGTATTGTCATTTTTACAGAAAGAAGCTTGTACTATATAAAGGAATGTAGTACCACATACCTCGGAATAGCTACGTAAAACTGTGGACTGATGATGATGTTTGATGATGACCTACCTAGAGTGATGAAGTGCCGTTGCGTCATAGGATCAACACACATAGCTCCACCGCACGCTGTGGGACAGCACATTTTGGAGGCCTCACAGGCCAGTCCGGGTCCGCACGCTGCTTCACATACGTCCACTGACAGTGTCGGAGGACATGAACCCGGTGCACTGTTCACAACTTGTAACACCACTGGAAATACTAAAAAGAAGTGATTACACTAAAAATATATCATTTATTGAAAAGATTATTAATGAGTTATAATACATATGTTATTAGTGTCACAATTTTGTAATAGATGGCGTTACGATACAAACAAATTATAACGAAATAAAATCTCGAATTCTAACAAATCGAGAATGAAATTTTAACTACAAATAAAATATCTAGAAATAAATTAAAATTACTGTCTGTCTGTCTGTCTGTCTGTCTGTCTGTCTGTCTACTAAAGAGTACAACAAAACTGTAAGCAATGTGGGATAGTATTGGGCCCGTTAGCTCGCCCAAATAACATCGGCATCATTAGCTGAACGTTTCAAGTATTTACTAGACACCAATTGTTTCTAACACTATTAGTAAGTTAATAGTAACACGTTGTAGTAACATTATATGAAGTGTGTTGTTTACTTACAGGCGAGTAGAATGTAGTGCATCGTCTGTACGCTCCCCCGGGGCCGCGTGTGTTCGCGCTTTGATTCCGCCAGCGACAATAATGAGCGTCTTGACACAAATAATCCGATACACACTGATTTCAAGGTTGTCGCGTATTATGTATCATTTTATTCTTACTAATATTAAAAATACGAATGTTTAGATAGATGGATGAATGTTTGTTTGAATGTATCTCCGGAAACAACTACAAACATATTGCCATTCCTCGCGTTTTTTTTTAACGCCCGTAGTTTCAGAGGAAATTCTTTACCGTGGTAAGGGTGGCACAAAACTGTCACTCATAATTGTAAGTCTCATGTACCTACCGTAATTAGTCGACAATGCCTTAATATAATAAAAATTCAAACATCGTATCAAGTAAACTTACAAGTAGTTAAATAAGTTTAAATAATAATATATTTCTGACGTTAGTAAAATGAAAAAAATGTATGTAAATTTTCTAAAAAAAAAGTGTTTACATTGTTCACGAAGTTTTTTGTCAGTGTGTATCGTATAGTTAATGTTACACAGATAACTCCGGGAGAGGGCGTTCGGGGGTTTTTGGTGGGGAGGGGGGTGGGTGGGTGGGCGCGCGGGGGTTTTTTGGCGGGGAGGGGGGGGCATATGAAATTGTAATACAATCCGAGAGTTCGTTCCGAAGCATTACATTGTGACATGTGACATAAACGTATAAATTACGTTAATATTTCATGACTTTCGTGTAATAATCATGGAAATTATTCTAGGATAATAAATAAGGGCTCTTTTATATTAATGTAAGATTGTAAGCGTAATTTTCTTTGGTTCTATATTTAAACAATTATGGCACGTATGATTTATGTTTCTGTTCAAAATCTGTTTTTAGAACACCATTTAAGATATCTTAAACCTATTCTAATATAGATAGTAATAAGTATGGCTTCATATCGTGATGTCTTTTTAATTCTTGCCTTTATTTTTAAAGATAAATTGGTCTAGATCAATCTAGAGGCTAATAGAGATGTATGGAGAAGTAGTTCAGACTGTGCCGATTTTCCGTAGGAATAAGTTAATAATTTATTAAAGAGAAACGATTCCCAGACATTCAAAAACCCAACATCAGTGACTAAAACATCCATGTACCTCATTATGTACTATATTTAAAATTTATTTATTACTATCAGCTGTTTAAACGTAAGGTTATCAGCTAAACTTGACTTGAACTATACGTAGATTTCTCGGTATTCAAAGATAATATTGTGAAATTTAATAGACCACAAATACGTCTTCCAGTTTCCTCGTGTTGTAATATTTGGTTGAAAGTTTGATGTATTTATTATGTCAAATAACTTGCTGCCACCTGACCGGGGGTCTACAACGAATATTTAGGATAAACGCCATCGTAACCTAAATGACAAAACCTGTATTAATATTCATGCAGTGCAATACATCAAAAATCTGATAATCATTTTGACATAAATGACCTAGACGATATTAAGGCGTTTGACGCGAATATTTGTGTGCTACGTCCACAATACTGCGATATTTTATATCTATACCAGCGATCGCCCGCGACTCTCTCCGCATGGATTAAGAAAACGTAATTAGTAGCCTGTGTGTTCTTCCTCCTATTATGTTCTTCACTATGTTCTATATGTATGCAAAATTTCAGCGATATCTATGCAGCCATTCCGGAAATACCTTCAAACAAACATCCATCCATGTAAACATTCGCATTTATAATATTAAGTATTAAGTGTATGGGTAAGATGAACAGTTTAGTTGAGAATTCATTAGTTTGTCGGGGTTGTAATAATTGAAATATGGAAGTTTACATCTGTCAGAACATATGGGAACGTGAGTCTGTCGCTTGATCAATCTCCGCAAGCAATCAGTCGACGTCTACAGATTGAAGATCTGTCAATCGCATATTCCTCAGTAACGTTTGATTCAAAGTTAAATTATCCGCGAAGGAAATAGAGGACTTACAGAATTTCTTTTATTTGATTGGGAATTATGAAGTGGAATGAAGAACATTATTGCAGAATTTTTTATTTATTTCTGGAAACAGTATTAAATTATTTTAATATATTTTTTGAACATTGGCAACCTGTATTTTTATTTTGCGTTTCTTTTTAATAGTTTCCGAGACCAATAACCCCGTTTAAATTATATTGTTATCTCTGTTTTGTCAAAGATAATGACAGGGATGACGATATGTTTTATACAGAGATTTTGATCTTAGAATTCAATAGTTAGTTGTTTTCTTTAAGCACACGTCCTTTTTCTTTTAATAAAATATCGCTAAGCTACATCGAGACGATGCTCTGATTACGTCGAAGTTGGCTTTCCGCCAATAAGCCTGTTGATTGCATTGTAAGTACCTTCCAATGTTTACTAAGTCTGCAGGCTTCACGTTTTTCATTAGCTTGTAATGTTATTGGTTTAATTACGTAGATAAATTCGCATATTGTGATTTTATATACCTCATATTAGAGTGTACTTAAGTTGGGATATGACATACTGGGTCACTTTAACTTAAGTTATAGTAAATGATATTAATAAAGATTTTTTATTTCGTTACAAGCTAAATAATAAGAGTAAAAAAACTTAATTAGTAGCTTATATGTTGTTTCACTATATTTATTCTACACCCGTGTCACATTTCGTCAAACTCCGTTCTGGAGATACCTTTAACAAACATCCATCCATCAGTCTAAACTTTCGCATTTATATTAGTAGGATTTTACTGTGGTTTATTAAAAACAAAATAAATTCGATGTGGAAAGTCGGCAATAAACCCTTTACGCCTGAGCGTGGATTGACGATGAAAAAGACAAAGTGCTGCAATAATTCACCTTTACATTTCCACGTGGATTCATTTCTCGCTTCGCTGGTGTTTCTAATTGAAAGACCGTTTTATACGCGGTATAACACAACGAATAAAAATTCATATCTTAATAACATTGGTATAAAAATAATCTGTATCATAATATAACAAGCCACTTTGATGTAAAAAAAAAAAAAAAAAAACTCTGATAGTTTCTAAGATCTAAATCTTTATATATATAATTCTTCTGTGAGTGTGTATGTCACTGAACTTCTCTCAAAGGACTGGACCGATTTTGATGAAATTTTTTGTGTGTGTTCAAGGGGATCTGGGAATGGTTTAGATTCACAATTTTCATCAAATATTAACTTCATATTAATTTATTCAAATTAAAGACGTGTAGACAGGACAACGTCTGTCGGGTCCGCTAGTATCTTTATAAAACATATCGTCATCACTGTCATTATCTTTGACGAAATAAAACAATCTTAGAAACCCACGGTAAAAGATTTTTTTACTGTAAACGAACCTACGACATGTAGTTATCCTTTGATGACACACTAATATTATAATAACCATTTTATTACAAAAAAAAAAGTTATGGTACATGCCACCACTAGAATTACACGCTTATGAAGTTTTGTTAAAAAATGTCAACAAATATTTTTTATAACTTAAAAAATAAGAAAGCACATGATATACAGGATGTGAATTCAAAATCGTATATCATTTTGCTTTTACCATTCGTATTTCAATTTAAGGAATATTTGCGTTAGGAAGTGAGGCAAGGCAAACACAATTATGGTAAACTGAATCCCGTCGAATCAAATATGTTATCAATCAAACGCTACACAAATATTTACTGTAACTTTTAACATGCGTGAGATGAGACCAGTTTGCGAATTGATTTTACAAGCAAGAGTTTTGTAGAAATTTGGGTTTACATGCCTGACAAACAACAATCTTTAAGGAAATATGACGCATCGCAAATTCTGGGCACAGATAAAAAAATTAATAAAAGTACAAAATGTAATCAAGAAAGTTAAAGCAGCTTAAAGTGAGGTTGTGTTGAAAAGATTTTTCTTCGTCACTTAAACTTGCCGAGTTTCATTAGTTTGATAGCGTGACGGTGACGTCACAGGATTAATGCTTCCCAGAAGCGGCCAGTCTTTGTTCGGACATGCTCACTGGAATTTCCTTTAAAATTATCAAAATTGAAAATGATTAAAAAAAAAAAAAAACTAGCTTGCCATGGATTATGTTACAGTAAGACTTCTTTGCTTTATATATTACTAGCTGTCTCCCGAATCCACCCGGAACTAAAAATAAAAACTTAATTAGTAGCCTATGTGTTCTTCCAGACTATGTTCTACATTTATGTGTAGCGAGATCCATCCATACATTCGCATTTATAAGTAAGAAGCAAGATTCTAACTAAATATTGTTATTCCTTATGTTTAAATATGCGAGTGACAATACTTACTTCGCTGGCACATCGACCCAAAGCTGTGCTGTAGTACCGACCACTCCCCCATCCGCCACCCGTACTTACCATAAATATATTTTACCCCATTAAAATCAATTTGTCATGTTTTAACAATAAACCCGTGGTGATAAATCACACTATACAAATAATAATATTTTCTACTTGAATGACACCCGGGGGAAGAATACGAATCGAATTATACCTCATTCTTTGTTCAGTCGTTCAGTTCCGGAAGTCACAATTGTATCGACACACACAAAAATATACATACATAAGCACGAAAAACATTATCGTAATCCATCTTTTCTTTATTACGGTACTTAAGTAAATTCAAATCGTTTTTAAGCTTTAATGAATAATAAAATAGTAAATTTGCATAAACGCGATAACAGCCATACTTCCCCAACCCCTTGCTATATTTATCTTTCCAGAGATCAGCAACCTTTTATTGTTTACACAACAATTTATCGAAATTAATTAGAAATTTATATCACATAACTAAGATATGAGAGTATGCGATCACCGAGAGAAGGTTTCTTTTGAATAATTAAAAAAAAAGATGATATTGTCCCTTTCATTATTTTGGAAAAAAACAGAGACAACAACATGCTTTAACGCAAATGTTTCGGCGCTAGAATTCATGGTAAGCAATAATATTTTTACGCTTTTATTGCACCTCTAACAAGACTTATTTGAACGCTACTGTTATTTACATTAAAAAGCTAGCTTTTATTTTAAAACAAAATGTATTAACAAACACGATTTGCCTTAATTACAGTTTTGAGCATGAAT